AAGCGTTCCATGTTTCACCGGAGCTTTTCTTCACATTACACATGTAGGGGAAATGTAGGGGAAAATTTACCGCAAGTGACAGTTTTCTGGGACGAAAGTTGGTCATCTTTGAAGCTTTATAAAAACCACTATAGTAAGCCTGACCACACGAAACAGATATCATTAGAAAGCGTTTTCAGCGTTCTTTCAGTTGATATTAACCCCTGTTCCAAACCTTTAATTAAGCTGTAAAAAATGCGCAACTAAAAAAAACGGCACGGTCATACTTCCAACCCTAATATTTTTTTGGTTTCCCACATTTTTTCGCCTGCGTAAATTGCTGCACTGAATATTTTATTGCAAATTATATCGTGTGGCCACGTTTCTTCAGCCAAAAGCTCACCTTTTCGTCCGTTTAAACGAGCCAGAAATGGACAGCCATCAAATTGTTGAGTTGATTTTGATCATCCTCTTGCCGGTAAGTGCCGAATTCATTGCCATGAAAATATGCATTGATTTTTTGAGTATTATATTTTTGGAAACTTTATTTTTTCAGCCGGTTGCCGTTTATCTGCACGCCCACGAATGTAATGCTCATGTCTTGTTGAACATCATCCTCTTGTTCCTCTTCTGGTAAGGAAAAGGCTCGATTTTTGAGTCGCCAAACAGGGCATCACACCCCTAAAAAAATGTTTCTGCATAGTGCGAATATGAGTATTAAATACTTGCTGACTCTTGATTCATTAAATATTTTAAATCTCCGTCATTTTCAGGTTCCCCGCCGCCCTTCACGCTGCTTGGTACTGTTTTTGCCGTGATTAGAACACCAAAGAAATTCGCAATTTATTCATTCGCATTTTCATTTCCATCATTTATCAGCACTTCATTTTTTGTCGATGTATTGGATTTATTGGATAAAGTTTGATTTGCCCTTCAATGTTTGCTGTTTACACTTGATTGTGAGAGCTGTTTGTTGTTTGGATTTGAGGGTTTCACGGCAAGAAGATAAACTTTGGAGACGTATTTTTGGAAAGTTCCGGTTTTTGAGTTTCTTTAGGATTTTTTTTTGATTTTTGAAAATACGATTTATTCTTCGCGAATAATTGATTGGAGATTTAACAGAAGAAGTGCTCAAAGTGTGACGCTCAGACTTGATTAAAATTTGATACAAATTTAGGGTTAATTTCTCTTACGACATACGAGGTTGCAAGCTCGCGCGTTGCAAACACAATCAAGATTTTTTGATCAAAAATTGATAAAATTTCAGTATTTTCTATGCGTTTTGCCATAAAAAGCAGCAGCCTGATTTTTCCCAAACAACAGATCGTTTGCAAAAAAACTTTTTCCTCGGACATTAAGCGTTGGTCAAAAACCGGGTTTCCCTGTCCGCTCACTTTTTGCGTTTGGGTACCCTGAGGCCGGAGGTTTATGGCTTTTGGCATACCTTTAAAAAAGGGCCGGGCTTATCAACCCTAAAAAGGGGCCGGGTCACAGGCCGTGAGTGGACAAAGCCCGGTATTCTAGCCATGTCTCCACGACGCCAAAAATCGGTGAACATGTATATTTTTGAATGTGTAAGCAACGGCTAACAAAGAAAAATCTGAGGGTCGCATTTGGCACTCTTCACTTGTAAATGTTCATATTGAAGAAAGGAAAAATAATATTGATTATAATATTAGGTTGTCCCACAAATAATGTCCCCCTTTGAAAAATTTACTTCTGCGACAAAATTTACCGTAATAACAGCAATCTAATTAATCAAAATAATTACCATATGCTTTAACACGTTGATTACAACGTGACAAGCATTTTTTTTATTCCAGTAGTTTAAAAGTCCCGGCTTCTGGAGCCGATGAAACTTTTGGAGGCCTTTTCAAGGGCGTCTTAATTGATTAATTTTCTACCACGGATGAAACGTGGTAGATCCTTGGACAGGTGGTAGTCTGCATAGGCTATCTACAACGAATATACCAGACGAAGAAGAGTTTCGTATCTCGGTTAATTCGGCTTCTGGAGGGTAATTTTTTGAAGGTGAGGTTGCGCGTTTCCGTTAAAAATGTTCGAACTTCTGTGGCGTACCGTGGAAGGCCGATTGTGCAACAAGCTGTCTATGCAGGTACAGTAGGAGGTGGTGTTTACAGTTTGGCCCGGTTCCAGGAAACAGTAATGCATGAATCCCACGTTGCGCCATCAAAAATTGACCGTCACCGTCTTCTAGAGGAACTCAGACTTTGGGACGTGCTGTGGTGGTACCCCGGATGACCACCTTTGAGAAAATCTTGCCTAGGTGTCGTAGTTGATTCACATTTTGTCACAAGCTATGATACGATCCAGAAAAGCAGGATCTTAGGCTCGGTAAAGCAAAAAAAACGAAGCCTTCATTCTGGGCCTTGGTCCAATGATATGGGAAGAATTCGTCGAGCTTTTTCTTGAATTTATCGACATTGCACTGTTATCCACCGATAATTTTTATACCACCACAATGCCGGAAAGGCGTCGGACGTGGATTCCATGACTTCCGTCGACCAATGACCTCAGGGTAAATTCGCAAAGCTGGCATGACGTGTTTTTCCTTCGGGGTTCCTGTGGCTAGGTCGAATTTTTTTAAACGCTCGTTTCACCGTGGCCGGACTCACAGCACACTGGCCGAACATGGCGTTGATATTTGGTGTAACTTCTAAAACCTTCGTACCCTGTTTTTGCTCCCACAAGTTGATGGCACAAATCGTCCATTTTTCCGAAATTTTGAAGTGGGGCTAAATTACTGTAATTTCATCGAAATATGGCAGATGACATATTAAACAAAAGCTTGAAATCATGGCTACAAAATGCTGTAATATTACGAAATTTGGTTGTTGCTTACGTTTTTTATAGACCTTTGACTTGACCCCTCTCGAAGAGGGACATTATTTATGGGACAACCTAATAGTTTAAAATTATAGCTCACAATAAGACATGGGAAGTCAGGAGATCATAGAAATTCTTTTGATCATCTTTATTCCTGTAAGTTTTGTTAGGAGTGAGAAATCTCAAATTTACTGTAGTAATTTACACATTTCAGCCCCTTGCCGTCTACCTGCACGCCAATGAATGTAATGCCCAAGTGCTGATAAATTGTGTTTTGCTGCTGTTCTTATGGTATGATGATTTGAAAGTTTGAAAAAAGTTCTTCGGCTAGTTTGTTCCAGTTTCGAACTTTTCCAGGTTCCCCGCGGCAATTCATGCAGCTTGGTATTGCTTCTGTCGAGGATGAAGATGGATTCATCATGAATCAAGATCAGTACTTTCTGTTTTATTATTACACAACTGCAATGGGGGACCCAACCCAGTGGCAAAAAACGTATCATTTTGCATCCGGGAAGCATCAGAAATGTGGCAAAATGCTTCCCTCTGCAAGTGAAAAAACTCCGTTTTGAAGAGCGCGCCTTTTCCATCACAAAAAGAGCGGGCGCGCTTTTGAAATCTGGGTGTTTTTCACTTGGAGAAGGAAGCATTTTGCCACATTTTTGATACTTCCCGGATGCAAAATGGCACGTTTTTCGCCACTGGATCAAGTCCCCCACTGCATAGTTCTGAGTTGACTGAGAGGAACGTACCCTTTATTATAAATAGTTACAGTCAAACCCAATTTAATCCAAGCTTGTGCCAAGTTGTGTCATAATCTTCCCGTCGTGCCTTGAGCATTACATACTATAGAAATTCGTTGTAAAAATACGAAAGTTCCCTTATCAGTATAAAATCTGTACTTTTGGAAAGGTTTGGCTCAACGCGTCACTTCTGCTGAACACACCCTCCAAATCGCTGAAATATCTCTCCCACACAGTCAGCTTGGTCTCGAGTTAATACTCTGCGGCAATATACGTATTGCAATACACTACACTTCAAAATTCATATTGAATAAAATTTGAGTTGTGATTCACACTATGTAGTCTGCAAACTTTAGTTCCCAAATCGGATCTGACAAGGGAATGGCCTTCACTTCTCCAGGACAAATTTCTTTTCATTGTTTCCGTAAGTGATGATACATTTGTGCGCCGTGTGTGAGGTGTTTGCCGATGAGATTTCACGCATTTACACAAGGAATCTCGTGGTTCGGAAGAGAATTTATAGCGTATTCCCTTTATCACATAATACTTGAAGTCGAGGCTATAAAAACCAAAGTTTCTGCGAAGGTGTGACATCATTTGTAGTCATTTGTGACTAACTATTGTAACATGGGCGACATCAATATTTTGGAAGTTCTTCTGGTCATCATCTTGCCGGTAAGGGGAAGAAAATACGACAAAGAAAAATACGCGCTCTTTGTCGTAATTTTACACCGTGTAAAATTACGGCAAAAAGCTCAGATTTTGATAAAATTTGGGTCAAATTTAGACTGATTTTTTAAAAGATATATGCGAAATTCCTAGCAGGCGCTTTGCAGAAACTATCGAGATTTTTAAGGCGCAATGTAGGTAAACGTTTTCCTATGTGATCGCTCTCCGCATTTTGCGTACTCTCTCGCCGACAAAAATCGTTAAAAATCTCCGATGAAATTTTGGCAACTACTTGTCTCGCGCACAATGCAGAAAATACAAGATACCGAAAATCAAAGCGTCAAACTGTAGGCCGTTAAACTAGAAATGTATAATTTTCCGTCAACTTCCAGCCGATTGCCGTTTTTATGCGAACCAACTCCTGTAATGGAGATGTTCTGATCAATTGCGTCTTACTCCTCCTTCTCTGGTAAGCTGTGGAGAACACAAAAACGTTAAATATAAATCATTTAGGTTCCCCGCCATCTTGCATGCGGCATGGTTCTGTTTTCTAAAGTAACCCCAAACTGATGTTGAATAATGGATTAATAATAAACATTTATATAAATAAAGTTACTCGTCTCTTTAATATTGGATTTCGTAACCCGCGTTGGTCGGAGATCTCATATCCTCCCTAATAACCGCCTTTGGTTGCTATAGCGATGTCGGGAATTCCCCCCGAATTGACCTCTTTCTTGAGGCCACTATGCTTTAGCGGCCGTTGGAATGACCACTGGCCGCCCTGAAAAATCGTCATTCATTGTGCTGGTTACTGGTGAAATCGAAAAAGCTGTGGTAGGTCGGGCCTAGTATCAGTTATTGAGACGAATCGGGATTGGGACGGAAATTTGGTCAATTTGCGAATTGACCAAACAGATTCAATTCTGTCGGGAAAATTTTGAAAAAATGGAGACTTTTGACTTTTTTGAAAAATGTTTGAAGGTTAAAAAATTTGTTTATGATCAGTCGGATTGGGCAAAATGCCCACGGCCGGTCAGATTGGGCAAGATCTCCCATTTATTGATCAAATTACCCTTCCTAATACACATTTTTTGACTTCAATAATAATACATTTAATAATTCAAAATTTGATTCCAGTTCCCCGAAGTCAACAGTATTTACTGTAAGTACAATTATGTCTATGGTCCCGATTGGAAATTCATTAGTGGTGTGGAGGAAGGGCTTAGCCCAAGCTGCGAGAGGGGCCATCAATCTTCACATATTGCCATAAACACTCCTATTGATGCAACTTTTAGCTCAACTAATCCTTTCCGATGTAAGTTACTTGTTAAATTTTGGGTTTAAAAATTTTGACAACGCAAAAATTTTTAATATTTTAGGGCCTCAACTCATAATCAGCTGTTATGGGCATGATATGTTTGGAAACGACGTCATTCGAGGCTACGGAGCGACGTTTATCCCAACTGCACCGGGAAGGTATCGTACTCTTCAATTTTAAGATGATCCTATTTAGGAGTCAAAGAACCGTAGCCATGTTCGTACCTCAAGCTTCGACTGCAACACAACGAATACTCTCGTTTTTCACCGGAAGACGCGCCGAATTTGTCGACAGCAGGATCGTCTCAATGTCGCAGGGAAGAGAAAGTAAGTACAAGAAGGAAGAAGAATATTGTCGCATTTAGTAACACGGGTATCCTCACAAGGCCTCATTACCGTCACTTTCAACGTTGTTCTGAAGGATATCAAGAAGTATGGATACGATGTGTCACCAGCCACCATTTCAAGGATATCAGAGTTTCCTTTACCTCACTTCGAAGAGAAAAGACCTCCAAAAGCTGTTCAAATCCCTGAACCGAGTCCCGTAGACGAACAAAAAGATGAACAAGAGAAACCGGAAGAAATAGTTGAAGAGCCAGTTCAAGATGAAGTTCAGGAGGTCAATGAAGATTCGTCGTAAACCTCCCTGGGCTCAAAACAGTCAAGGAGTATGTATTTATCCTATGCTGCCATGTTTTCTTCAGTATGAAAAACAGTTCCGTCTTTCATATCCAAAACCATTCATCTTTGTCCAAATTGTCTAAATATATCGATCCTCAATCCCTCATTTCGAATAAATGGCCCAGTATTCAACAAATAACAAAAAAACTTCATATAACATTTCGCAGAAACCAACAAATACCGTGATATAAACAACAGGAAACTTATTTCTCGGTCTTCTTGGGCTCCTTCTCGCTTTCGGAAATCTTGCGCAACAGTTCCTTTCTCTTGATGACCAGGCGTTCTTCGCGTCGTTTGCGCATCTCCTTGTTCTTGGTACGGCGGGCCTCGGCCTGTTCTGCGAGCTGTCTGGAGCGGGCATTCTCGGACTTCTTCTTGAAGATGTACTCCATCAAGTTCCTCTTGTTCTTGAAGGTGTTACCTTTGCACTTGAGGTAGAGATCGTGATACCTGAAGAAAAAATTACTTATTAGCTCGTAATTAACCAGAAGCAGTGCGTTCTGCGCTTAACATTAACATCAGGAATAAAAATATACTTCTTACTATAAAAAAAAACTAAAAAACTTACAAATGCTTGTCGATCTTCTTGGCATCACGGTATTTCTTCAACAAATGTCTCAAGATGCGAATCCTTCTCATCCAGAGCACCTTCTCGGGCATACGGGCATTCTTGGTACCTCTTCTTTTACCGAAACCGGTGTGACGTCCCTGAAATCAATAAAACGTTAAATCTCAAATCAAATCCCGGCGAATAAACATGGATAACATAACATGTACCTAAAAACCAAGACAAAATCAAAAACTCTCCTTACCTTAGCACGGGCGGCGGCCTTTTCACGGGCACGGAAGCGAGAGTGGACCTTGTTGGGTTTCTGAATGATCAGACCATCCTTGACCAAGCGGCGGATGTTTTGTCTGGAGTTGGCGTTGGAGATCTCGGAGACTTCATTGGGGTCCAGCCAGATCTTTCCCTTGCCACACTTCAAGACCTCGGAAGCGAGGCGCTTTTGCAGGCGTAAATTACTGAAAAAAACAGGTTACAATCAGAGAGAAAACACAAAAAACGGATCATCTTACTAATCTAGGTCAATTCAATCTCTAAAACGGGCAACCGAAGCCATTTCAGGATAAAAACCTCAAAATCCTGTAAAACCAAGTCAAAGGCCTTCTAAGACACAAAATTCACAAGAAACCCTTCATTTCCACTATAAACATCACTGATGTCAGCTATGACAACACGCAGATCTCACTAAAATCAAAGAAAAATGTAAAAACTCCCAACTTACCTCATTGTTCACCAAAACAAGGGCGAAACAAAATCGAAAAAATATTTTTTACCGAATCCAATGGAAAAAGTCTTTAGGCTAACACGCAGCTTCCCTGAATTTCAAGGACCGCGGGTTTGAACAATAATTTTCCTTGGCATTCCGATTCAAGCAAAGGATAAGGTCGGAGCAGATCCTTCTGAATGAAGATTGAGTTGTAGGGAGAAGTCGAAGTGCTTTTTGACTTTTTGGAAGTTTTGGTTTAGTTTGTTGTGCTAAACCTGAACCATTCATTGCGTCTGCGAAGTAGAAACATTGTTTTTTGGGCATCTAATGGTATGGATTAGAAGGAATCAATGGTACTGAGTTCAAGAAGGACGATCTGCATGAAAATTTTTGTGCGTAGTTGAAGGGCATGGTTTTGATCCCTGTGGTACAATTTTTAGCATATTTTTTCTTTTTGTTTAGGAAACCGTGGTCTCTTCATTTTTGAATACCTAGTGCAACTTGGAATCGCCTCTACAGCTTTTTGAAGTGGTAGAACCGCTTAAGTATTACTTTAGTGAGGTACCTGACTTTGTCAAGCTGCTTATAAGTATAAATTCACTTGATTTCACTCTTGTAGAGGTGCAGATGTTGCCCATATTATTTTAGGTTGTCTGAGTTGTGTTTGGTTTGCGCTTCTTTTATGACGAGCGCGTTTGTTGGAGGCATTTCCTTGCCTGAGAAGCTTATTCTCACAAGGTGTGTGATTTGAACCTTTTTGCATAGCCGGAAATTTGATTAGTCTAGTCAGCTTTGCCGAATAATTGATTTTCTCTCTGAATTCCTTTTTATCTTACCGAAATCGATTGAATTCCTTTTCTCTTCGAAGTCCATCGTTCATAATGCTTTTACAGGAATATTTTCCGACTCGTGAAGCTTCTGAAAAGTGTTGCGTTTCTCCAGACGCGAGTTTCTCTTTTATTTTCAGAAATGACATAAACAAAAAAACTAGTAGGGCTTCCAGTTGATTCTGCTTCTAGCTTGCGGGAGAATTATGGCACTTGCTTCAGGGACGCCGGATTTTCATGATGCCGTTGAAAAACTGCGATTACTTGGTATGTTTGTCAGTGTACATCTCCAATATTGTCGTTTTAGAGAATAACGCGCTAGACTCGGTTGTTCGAGCATTCCGAGCCCAAGGTCCACTCACTTTGTACAAAGAGATTCTGCTTGATCATCTTCGATCAGCGTTATTGTATGTTTTTATTAACGTTTTTGTTTGATTTTTAGTGTTTCGCAATCGGACTTTGCCGCTAGTGGAGAAAGAGCAATGTTGGATGAAGAACTGCAAGGTATTTGCCAATGGTAAGGGTTGCTTGATCTTTACAACAGTGGAACACCCTATTTATCTCAAGCGCCAGACTAAAATAGTATTTTTTAGCTTGAATCCGTCGTATAACTCATTTCACAGTTGGGCGAAGGCTGCGGCTCCAATTTTTCCAGAAGATTTTTCCCTTCATCTCAAGCGTTTGCCTGAGAGCATAACAGATTTCTCAAAAAAGTCTATTGACGATCCTACGAAAGTCAGAAGGTTTTATGATAAGCACTGTAGAGAAGAGAAGGTCGCTGCTGCTAAGCTGGTGACACTTCCAAAGCAGCTATTTGGTATGTTTTGTTCGGTTGTTTTTCCACGTTTAGACTTAATGTCGGATGTTGTTGTAAGGTGTCATGGACAAGTTAATCTTTTCTGTGTTTCCAGTCCCAGAACGTCTTCGGCAAGTCCTTATGGCCACTGAAACATCTCCACGGCTTGATCTCAACTCTAAGCACACTCAGACATGCGATGATCAGATTCCAAGCACATCTAACAGTATTCCTGTCATGGATAACGTTGAGCGAAATAGTATGAATTCGGAAGAATCGGCTTCCACTAGTCTTAAGAGACCACGGATGTCTCCGGAAGGGTTTGAAGACCTGGAACCATTTGACAAGTTCATAAAAAGAGAGCTGAGGATACCAGATCTACCAAGGATACCAACTGATACTCCAGGAGAAGTTTATCGAGATTATCGGCCGGCGGTCCGGCCTTTACACCGATCAGGAAGCCGAACGATGGACCTGAATGGGAAAGGAAGGCCACAGAAGATCAATTACGATGGGTTTGTTCAAGGATTCCACAAAGAAGTTCCATTCAAAACAAAAGCCGAAGTTGAAGGATTAAATGCTCTAATATATCTGAAGACGGTATTAGGATTGAATAATAAGAAGAAAGTCGATGAGAAGGTAACTGAAGAGACCAATGGAATGGAAGAAGAGTATCAGGAAGAAGATGGAGAGGAGGAGGAACAAGAAACAAATAATGAAGAAGATGAGAGGGATAAAAGTCCTCCAGAAGCATTAGAAAGACTTCCGGATGAGCTTGAAGAGGAAGTCGAAGAAGAATATGAGCTAACAGATGGGATGGAAGCGCAATTCGACCAAAGCGATGAGGATGATAGTCAACATTTTACCCAGCAAGGAGCAGGTGCACATTATTTGTTAGAACGAGTGCAGGAGATGGAAGAGTTAGAAATTGAGGTCGATGAAGTGAAGAATGGACTGTCCGAGGAGTTTGAGAGATGTTTAGAAGAGAAGATGGTTCCGTCGACCAGTTGTACAGAAGCAGAAGGGAAATATGATAGTCATGATGAGGATCAAGAAGCGCGCTATGATCTTGTCCCGGAATATGACGGTGAAGTGGAGATATTTGATGAAAAAGAAGAAAAAATGAATGTAGAAGAGAACGAAATTGGTAAACCGTTAGAATTGATGGTGCAAAGAGAAGACGAAGAAGAAGAAAGCCATTTTGATCGAGAATCCCCTCCGAAGTTGGAGAAAATGGATGGAATTGGAGAGAATTGGGTGCCGGATGATGGGAAATGCAATGGAAATGGTGACACGAACTCTACAGATGATTTGAGTCAAAGTTATGCGTATCATGGCCTTGAAAGCGCTTCACACAGCCAAGATTCGTCGGAAATTTCCAGTGAGAAGATGAAAAATTGCAAAAGAAGGCAAAGTGAACCGATTGATAAGGAAAGAATGTCAAAAACAACGTCGAGCACACATAAACGACCTAAAATACGATGGAAATTTGGGAGTATTGGAAGTATTTCGAACAAAATGAGCATTGAAAATCAAAGTAATGGCAAGATTACGGAAAAGGAAGATGTCCGAAATGGATTTTCACGTCAAATTGATCGGAAAATTGAGGATTTGGATGTAAATGAAGTGAAAAACACTGTGATAGGAATGGTGGATCGAGTTTCGACCTGCAATGGGCATGGTGAAGATAATGGAATTGAGGTGAAAGATACTTTCAGATTTATAAATAAGTTTTTGGTTTTGAAATTGCAAAATAACTTGTTTTCAGGATTTTGCCAGCAGCTCAACGGCGATGTCTACGGAAGCAATTCAGTAGAATTTTGCGCTTATCTTTGGAAGATATAACCCTAGATCTCTAAACGTGTGATGATATGGTCCAGTGTCAAATAATCTCATATGTACAGCCGTTTTTCTTATCTTTTTATCCTAATATTTTTTTATTTATTAGTATTTATTCACTCCGGTTTAAATTAAAGTATTAGGTTGGGACGAAAGTTTTCCCCTTTTTCTTGTTTTTTTCCAAACAAATTTATTTTGACAGTTGTAACGGGAAACCAAACATAACATCCACCGTCGGTATCCACTACGTATTGCCAACGTTCCGACAAGGATTCAATTGGCGAGCTTAAAAACTGGGGTATTTATAATAAAAAATGTCAGAAAGACCTGTTTTGAGGTCCCCCAAACAATCGAACCGCACATCTCCCAAACGGTAGCTTAGCGATCTGATCAAATGGTAATCAGAAGGTGCCAAGGCTGGGGTGTAGTGTGGGTAGGGCAGCAAGGTCCATGCATTCTCCCTGAATTTTTTGCGCGCGATTTTTGCAATGTGGTAGCAGGCGTTGTCGTGAAGGAGGGACATTTGTTCAATTTTTCTCTAGCATTTTTGGCGACGCGGTCCAACTGGCGATAATACTGTTATTTAGTGACAGTTTTACCATCACGGAGCAATTCCTAATAAATACCTCCCATACAAGTCCACCAATCGTACAACATAATCCTTTTTGGGTGAATTTAGGTTTTGGGGTTGGTTCACCGTGATCGTCGGGTTCAAGCTACTGAAGCTTGCGGGTATGGTTTATATACATCACCCATTTCTGGTTCCCTGTAATGATATTGGTCAGCCAAGTCAGCGTGCGGCGGTACGACAAAAATTAGGAGCAACAGTATAAGCCGTGACTCCGAAAGTTCGTGCGGAACAAATTAACCACACTTCCACACTTTTCCCAACCGATTAGATGGTCCATAATGGTAGTATGGGAGAACCCAAAGAGCTCTCCAAGTTCACGTTATGGCAATTTGGGATAGCTCACGCTTAAGCCTTTTAGGGCGTCATCATCTATCTCAGATGGCCGCCAGAACTTGGTCGTCTAACTCCTTTTTTTGAACCTCTGGAACCAATACTTGGCCACACCATAAAAGAGGACGTCCTTGCCTATAACATCCTAGACTTCGGTTATATCTTCCATGGGGGTTGGTATTCTGCGATAGTTTTAAAATTTGACGCATCGAAACAGCAACTTTGGGACGGAAATTTTTCCACGTTTGGAGAGCGCTATGGGGACAAGTTACATATCAGTCTATATGCTATCAAGTCACCCTTACATAGTCACATGATAGAACTTTCCAGGAAGTTCCACAACTTCCATAACTTTTCCCGAAAATTAAGGGGAAAACTTTCGTCCCAACCTAATATTTATCCCTCAACTTGAAGGTTTTATTTTTGCGTTGGGTAAGCGATTTTTACAGTTTCTACAGTGGCTGCACAGTGCGGATTTTTGGCGACTGCACCGTGCGGTTTTGAGTGATTGCACTGTGCGAATTTTTGGCGACTGCACTGTGCGATTTTGGTTATTGCACTGTGCGAATATTTTGGCGACTGCGCTGTGCGAATTTTTGGCCACTGCACGGTGCGATTTTGGCCGACTGCACCGTACGGATTGATGATCATTGCACTGTGCGAATTTTTGGCGATTGCACAGTGCGATTTTGGAGTACTGCACCGTGCGAATGTTTGCCAGTTGAACCGTGAAGATTGCCAATTTCTAACCTTTTCAAAAGAGATCTTTTTTTTCATTGTCAAATTTTTTCGATCCCTGAAGTTTTTCTGTAAAGAATTGTTTGTGCTATAGATTGTTCCTCCATTCGTGAGATATCATTCTATTCTTGATGTTCTGAAAATGTCAGCCGAATGAATCTGGCGTCCGAAAAAGAGACGCAAAAAAAAGAAGGTTGGATGGAAGCGGGGATGGTTGACAACGAAGCCATCACGGATATGACCTCTTCGGGAAAGGCCAAGGTCCTCGGAGACAAATGGCCAAATGACTGGTCGACGCGCCGCTTCCGGCAATGAAAATCTGCCCTCAAATATATGTGTTTTTTGGGAGGGTCGGGGTTAAGTGCCCTGCGAAGGGTATCATTTTTCACCTACGCCGTTTTCGGGATGTTTTGAATACCTGCACGGTAATCTCGGTATAATTTTAGATCAAAAGATTTTGGATTCTTATGAATGATGGCCGGAACTGGAAGCTTTATTTTGCTTATTACAAGGGAAATAATAGATCAAAATTTGCAAAAACGATTTTTTAGCATCTATAGAGTCGGTCTTTTCGTAAAGTGTTGGGGGTTTTTTACGTCCAAAAATATCTGATAAACGTGAAGCCGAGAAGACGAAGCTGTTCAAAAACGTGATGTTACGAATTCAACAGGCTGTCTGTAGATTTGTCAAGTATAATCCCTATTTTTGAGTCTGTAAAACGACCCGTTGTTTTGTTCCAACACTTTTACGGACACATCTGGCCATGTTTTTCTCTTTCGGAGGGTCATATTTTGCAACAACCGGCATGTTAGACTTCTATTATTTTTAGAACATTTTTTCTCGCGCCCTCAGCGAGATTTATTCAAATTTTGGCCGCCTTGATTTCCAAAGTTGAAAAGACTTCAAGAAATTACAGATCGCGCTGAAAAAAAGCAATTTGACTTGAGAAAAGCAATTTTATTTTTCCGCGGCCAAAAAATCTTGGCATGTTTTTGCACCCTGCGGGCGCATGAATTCGGCGATGCGACAGGGTGTCGCGGGATAAAGATTTTGCAGGGTGCGAAAGAAGAGCGCACTGTGCGTTGTTTTCCCTTTTCAAAGCAATCTTTTTGCACTGTGCGGGGTCGCAGCGCACCGTGAATTTTGCTTATCGCCGCGCGGCAAGTTTCCTGCGCGACGGCGCAGTGTGCAGACATGTCAAGACTTTTTGGCCCGCCGTATCATCTCAAAATTAACTGCCCTGATCGATCAGTGGGATTTAGTCACCCTCTTTCGATGTAGCAGCTTATAGTAACTGAAACGTTACTGTAAAATGAAAATCCCATTTTTTAACCGCACTAACCTATATTTAACAAGTCCTTGTAACAGACTGCTAATCCCTTTTTTTAGTCGGAATTTTGACAAAATAGCATTTTTGGAGGCATCGGAAAAAATCTTAAATCGGCCTCTTCATCCATCCGCATCTGCATTATCTCCAATTTTCCGAATTCAATTAATTAATTAAGTCGAAACCCGGGCCGCTTCGCTTCTTCCATCGCCGCTAATCGAGTAATCCCAAAATAAAATTCATAATATTTACAGTAGGCCTTGTAGCGTGACGTGCGGAGAAACGGCCGAGGGCGGAGCGGATGCGGAAACGACGGCCGACGCCCTGTTTCGGCCGCTCACGCTAAATGGGCTCGTCCGGGGCCGGTGTGGCGTTCCAGCTGATCCGGCATGCATCGATACATCAGCCCGACCAGTGCTCCATCAAACATGCCGATTCATTTGGTGAGTTTTGCGGGTTTTTGGGTCGTAATTCTAGCAGAGAAGATGCTCAATGTGCGATGCTTCGATTTTTGTAAAAATTGGGTCAGATTTAGAGTGCATCATCTCATGATATATTTGAGATTTTCCGCTCGCGATTTACAAAAATAACCACGATTTTTTGGCCTAAAGTTTGGCGAAAATTTGACATTTCTTTTGCAAGCTTTACCACGAAAATCTATAGTCGGATTTCCACGGGAATGAGCAAAGTTTCTACCAAAAAATATCTTTTTCCAAGCAAGATTGGCAGAGATATTGCCTAAATACGGTCTTTCCTCTGATGGGTCTCCGCAAATAGTGCACTCTCTCTCTTATCGGAAAATGATGAAGATCTTGGGTCCTCCGGAAAGCACGAGCTAAAATGTGCAGTAAACAATAGTTGACCTAGAAAAAAGATGTTTTTCGGTTGGCCTTAGAACTAAAACTTTTAGCCCGTTTAGGGAACAGCTATGCTCACAGCAATGGTAATTGCTGAAAAGCAATTCATCAGTCAGGTTGGGGCTTATTGCAAGGTTAAAGAAATAGAAAATTCCAGCACCAAAGCTGGAGTTTTCAACGATATCTTATTGTTAAAAAACCGTAATCTTAACTTATCTCTAAAAGTTTTTCATTCACTTTACCTAATCTGCTTTGAGATTTCCCAACTTTAAATGATATTTCAACTTTTTTAGCGGCGATTTTGAATTTACCAAAGGCCTTCCCAGAGATAAAATGACCGCTTTGATGTTTTTATGGCCTCATTTCGGCACCCCAATTTGCCAGGAATTAAGGAATTGTAATCCCTCATTGCGAAAATAAGGAAATAAAAATTGAAAAAGTGCGCTTTTTGAGACGTACGGTATTGCTTTTGGAGAAAGTTTTAAAGCGGATTTTGACGGATTTTTTGGTAGAGAAAAAACCTCAGATTTAGCTGATGTATAAGACGGGAATTTTTTATGGTAAAATTTGCAAAAAAATGTCACAACTTTCGGACTAATTCTAATATCTCCATCGCTTGTAGAATGCGCGGGCTGGCGACTATATACCATAATAAATTTTCATCTAGTCTGCGCCAAGTTTCATTAAAATTTGAACGCCACAGCTCACAAATTTCTTAGCTTGGCTGATATTTGGTCCCCTCTTGACATACCTTTCCCTCTTTCTCACCTAGCCCAATCCCAAAATCAACATTTTTCCCGCTCTTCAATTGAGTTTACAGCCGTACCCACCGCACATCCTTTTCATCCCGAAATCCCGCCAAAATCTCCTCTCCCCCACCCCGATATTATCCCTCAGGCCAAGCTCATTAACCGTGAACATCAAATCAAAAAAAAATTTTTTTGGGTGAAAAAGAGAGAACTTTTTTTCTTCGGGGCCGGATATAGCGAAAGAGGTTTGAGAAAATCGGAAAGGATCGGCCGAAACAATTGGTTTTTGTTTTGCTGACCGGCCGAAAGCGTCTAATTAAACGGCCGCTAATCGCTGCTACCCTTTGACCGGAGGTTATTTACCGATTGCTAAGAGCGGATATTGGGATGCACATTACTTTCTAACCTGGAATTTTTGACTATAACATCCAACGCCGCCGGTATTTTCGTTTGGATTTAGACATCTTATTCTAAAACTATTATTTTTGGAAAACGTTGCAACGTACTATTTAGCAACCAGCTATCATTTTGAAACTTATTCCACTGGCAGTTCAGCGAATTCCCCACAATATTGAACACTATTTTCTAAATCTCTACTGCCTTATCGCTCCCTAAATTCGATTACACTTTCCTCCAGCTCCATGGGAAAGATCTCAAAATATTGTTAGCAACTCGCATTGTAACCCGATTGCTCGTCGTCATCGAGTGCAAGGATGGGTTCGACGGGCGCTTACAACACTCTACGGCGGCTCACATCCCCGTCCTTGCAATTCCGCTTTCAAAGTGTAATTCCGCCGGTGCCGCCGCCACCGCCGAATCGCGATTCCTCCGAGTCCAGGCCGTCCTCCATTTATTCCGGATTCGGTAGGATTGCTGTAGATCTCAGAGGGTTACTGTAAACTTTTTTGGGTGACGATAGAGGTTTTAGCAAAGGCGCTGCGACTTTTCGGGTCTGCGACAGTTCGGTCAATGGTATTCTGGATCGCGTCGGTTCGTCGTTGTATGGGGGAAGCTTGTGGAAGGCTTAGTTAATTGAAATAATAGGGTTGATCAGGTATTAGTATAGCTTATCAGCTATTTTGGGGTATTTTAAATGCATTCACATCAATAATATCTAGATAAAGTTACAGACTTTAGCTTTTTTGCCGCAAATTTTAGTCTTTTACATTTTGATAACGCAGGGTAAAGAAGAAAACTAACGATAGTAATAGCTAATTATTATATCGCTTATTAAACTAACGTTAGTAATATCTAAAATTAGAAAAAACGGACATATCGCAAGTCTCCGCCGGGCCATCACCGAGCGTCCGCCGACAATCCAACGGCTTTTCCAGGCCTCGCAGGCACCTCCTACCAATTTTTTTAAACTATCCACCTGTCCTACCCCTCGTACCGATCGGTTTTGTGTTGACCCGAACTGTCGTCGACGCGAAAAGTTTACAGCCTTGAAGACGGAATGTCACAGAAATTTTTGTTCTCCCTCGCCTTGAAGGAGAAAATTTTAACTGTTGACGAAATATTTTACAATTTATTTGGTTATTTGAGCTGTAGTGCAAGTCTGTCGGGAAAATAATGAGAACAATATCGTTGCGCCGATCGGAAGTGAAAAACAATTTGATTTTGCCGCGACACAATTCATTTTCTCTGCGGCGATGCAATTTTTGATGCGACCGAGTGCTCACTATTTTCCCGACAGACTGATATTGCTTTAAAATTCCTTTTTATCAGTCTGTCGGAAAAATAACGGCGGATCGTCGCATCAAAATGTCTCGCCTCGCCGCTGTCGCGCACCAAATCCCAAGTCGCGGCTTGCAGTCGCAAAGCGATGATGGGCGATTCCGAGGCGCGACGATCCGCCGTTTTTTTCCCGACAGACCGATATAAAGGGACAGCAAAAACGTGACATTTTGTCTTCTTATAAAACGCACGATTCAAACGTAGCCGTTTTGCTCCTTTAAAGACATTGCACTTTTATTTGTTCGATATGTTTCTCGCCTCGTATCCAATTTTTGTTTTAAACATTTTTTGAAACTTTTTCGCCATTTGTCCCAAGGGCATTGGGCCATCTAAGTTGAACCCTCAAAAATTACAAGATTCTTTTGGATATTTTTCAGTGGGGTTTCAAATGACAGCCGGGTCTTCTTTCTGACCATTTCAAAATAGCCCCCTTTCCGTAGCGGAAAAATGGTCTATTGTTTTCCCAATCAAGTGATGGATGAGGATCGAAAAAAATGGGATTAAAATGGACAAAAACGAGAGTTTTATAACTGACTTAGAGAGAGGATGACTTAAAGTTGAACTAGGATGAAAAATTTGCAGAAAAACAAAAGTTTAAGGTCTTCGAAAAGACAGCCATTCAAGAAGTAATTTTCTGCAAAAAAACGGAAAAATTACCGTGCTGTAAATGAGGGTTGTATTCTGTATCATGGGAACTAGACACGCTGGAGAGAAACAGACTTAACCATGGAGTCTACCGTATCCGGAGACCATTTTTTGTAGCCTAGTCCGAGCCTCTAAAATGACATTTTTTGTAACCTAGACCAAGCCTCTAAAATGACGGGGAAATTTTGAATATTCATGTTTTTTGTCATCAAATTCAGCTTTGCCAAATTTCTCAAAAGTTTTAAATAAATTTCCAGCGATTTTTTTCCGAAACTAAAATAGCAAATATGCACTTTTTAAAAGGATACCCCTTTTGCCACCCAAAAGTAATCTTCAATAATTTTTGATTTATCTCCTGCGATCCCATCTATCACACCCAATATCTTCATGGCATGTCAAACTCAGAAAAAATACTAATATTCGCTTTAAAAACGATTGAAAAAGTTTCTTTTTATAGCCAAAATTGAAGAATTAGGGCTACTGGGTTTAGTGCAATATGACGTCATCTTAGTATAAACGTGTTTCATGGTATTTTCAGAAAACGTAAGTCGCGTCAAATGGGAGGAATTTCCGTTGCGTCGAGATGTGGAGGAGGGCGAGAGCAACGACGGAACGTCCAGCGGGCCAACGTCGTTTGTCGCGAAGATCGTCAAAGTAAGTCATGCTTCCGAGACATTGCTCAAAACGTAGCGCTTCAGTTGAGATGAAACAAACTCATATTTAAATTAAGCCTCAATAAGAAATATAATGGATTTTTAGCGCGTGCTTTGCAGAAACAACATTTTTTAAATAGTTCAAAAATTGAACCAAATTCGACAAAGCGTTCACACGAAAAAAATAATTTTTCCCGTACGAAATTGCCAAAGCTTTGGCCAAAAAACGTACTCTGACATGCAAAATTATGAGAAGATCTAGCTGAAGAACCTTGAGATATTTCCTGATGACATAATTTACAAATTTTCTCTGTTTAGGCCCTAAAAATCCTCGCACCGCACGTTGGCCTGAACATTTTACTCTTCACTTATATCGCCTTTGGCGCGGGAATGTTCATCTTCTTGGAGGCGGACAACGAACTGGAAAAGCGGAAGGAGAAATTGACCGAAATACTCGCCATATATCAAAGCATCATCAACGAGTCCTACTCAATGTGCGGTGGCCATACCAATATATCCAATGTAATTTTATGTTTAATAGACCTATCTTCAGCCGATCACTTTTACCGTCATATTTCAGGTAGAAAGGCGGCTACGGCCACTGTTGTCGGTGCTCTCACGCACTCACGAATACGATGACAAGTTCACATGGGAGGAGCAGATGTGGACGGACAATGAGGACCGACTCTCGACGAAATGGACCTTCGCCGCAGCCACATTGTACGCGCTGACCGTCATAACCTCCACCGGCTACGATCATTTGTCGCCGTTGACGGATTTAGGTCGCATCTTCACCGTCATATACGGGTTGTTGGGGATCCCGCTGATGTTCATCACGGCCGCCGACATAGGAAAATTTCTGTCGGACCTGGTGATAAGGTTCTACGCCAAATGCTTGGCGGTTTACGAATGGGTTGGCAAGGTGTGGGAGGCGATGAGGAATTATATTATGGACGTGGATGACGACTCCATTGATTCTAGGTAAGAGAAAAGATGCGCGGAAATCAAAAAAATCTTCAATTTCTTGGCAATTGCCACACAGTGCCGGACCGGATTCAGTGGCAAAAAACGTACCATTTTGCATCCGGGAAGCATCAAAAATGCGGCAAAATGCTTCCCTCTTCAAGTGAAAAAACTTCGTTTTGAAGGCCCTTTCCCTCAAAAAAGAGCGGCGCGCTTTTGAAATCGGAGTTTTTTCCCTTGGAGCATTTTGCCACATTTTTGATACTTCCCGGATGCAAAATGGTACGTTTTTTCCCACTGGATCAAGGCCCCCTGAATGAAATTTCAAAGCCCATTGCACTGTGAAAAAAGCCGAAAATTGTACAGTAAAAATAGAGCTTTTGTTTTCTCACAGTGCTTGCCGCAACAACCGCTCCAGCGACTTTGCGAACAGACTATAACGCAAAAAATTTCAGGAAATATCACGAACGCCGAAAAAGGAATCGAAACCCTGACGACGACGATGACGACGAGGAGCGACTGCAACTCCCAATTGTCAGTTATTTCGCGCTGGTTGTCAGCTATTGTTCGCTGGGCTCATTGCTCTTCAACTGGTGGGAAAAGGGTCCAATTTGGTGAGGAATTTCAAATATTGTAAGCAATTTGGAAAAAATGTTTTCAGGTCTTTCATTCACGGGCTATTCTTCTCCTTCAATACGATAACGACCATTTCCTTGGGTAATATTTGCGTCCGCAACAAGTTTTATCTCGCCCTCACCGTGGTTTATGTCATCATTGGGTTGGCGGTGGTGACGGCGAGTTTGGATTTGTGCAGCAGCACGCTGAAGAGGACGTTCACGAAACTGCATTACTTTGGTCGCAAGATTCGAGGGGCCCGAAGAGGGTTCGCGAATGTCAGCGACGACATCAGAGAGGCCATGAAGATCATGGCGGCGTTGAAAAAGACACGGTAGGGGCTTTCAGCAGCGAGTGGGGGAACGGTTCCAGTGATCGAAAAAGGTGGACGATGTGGTCAGGATGAGTCTTCATTTGATATCAAAAAAATGATAACAAATCAAGGCTCATCCTCACCACATTGTCGCCCTTTTTGGTCACTGGGCTGGTACACACTGTAGCTTTTGACCTTTTTTTCAATACCTGCATAAAAAAGGCTTTACGATCAAGTTACATTTCAACTTTTCAGACCCAGCAAAGAGAGGATAACCCTGGAAGATCTAAAACGATTTCTTGAAGTCCAAGAGCATCTGCTCCGTCAGCCCTATGTGCCGTACAACGTCCACATCTTCAAATGGATCGAAGACGCGGTAAGTTTTTTGGGAAAACACTACAGTGGGGGACCTGATCCAGTGGCAAAAAACGTACCGTTTTACATCCGGGAAGTATCAAAAATGTGGCAAAATGCTTCCCTCTCCAAGTGAAAAAACTCCGATTTCAAAAGCGCGTCCGCTCTTTTTGTGAGGGCCCTTCATAACGAAGTTTTTTCACTTGGAAAGGGAAGCATTTTGCCACATTTTTTATGCTTCCCGGATGCAAAATGTTATGTTTTTGCCACTCGATCAGGTCCCACTGTACCTTCTCTCAACGGTGAAACAGGAATGAAAGTTTCCATGCAAAAATCCGCAAAAAAACTCTTTTTGCCAACTTTCGGCCTAAAAATGCCTGTATTTTTCTTGCATTTTCACTTTCTCAATATAAATTTATATTCCCCAAACACCTTCAAAATCACTTATCCTTTTCAGTATGCCCAATATCACTCGGACAGTGGGTCAATGTCGTCCAAGTCTCTGCACAAAGCGTCCTCATCCCGGTCCAACAACGACGCGTTCATCCTGTTCTAGTTATTTTGTGTATCACTGCCTACTTGTTAAACTGTAATCTACAACTCTTTTGTTGTTTATTACTCTTTTCTTTCCGTCCAATTTTCACTCAGGGTTCGGTTCTTTCCCACTTTTTATTTTTGTAAAAGTATTAATTGCAATTTTCATAAAGTCTATAAATAATCTAGTTGATGGCTAAAGTAATTGAAGAATATGCGTCGTGCCTTGCGAGTTAGCGGCGACAATGACGTTGGAGTTCTAAAAATTTTAAAAAATTAAAAATTGAATGGTACAGAGTAAGCTAGCATCTGAAAATCTTATTTTGCTAACTTTTTGTTCATTATTTCCCAAGTAATTAGCAAAATAAACCTTCCACCTCCGCATAAACCCCAACTTACTCGTTTCCAACACACAGCGGAGACAAAATCATTGGTTGAGGTTTCATTCTGCGATACCAACGAGACTTCATTGGCTTCTGAGTCGGCTTGTCTTGAGGTAAAGTCGTATTTTAGGATGGGTTGTTCCACATTTTTGAAGTACACGTAGAGTTGATTGTTCTCGGACCCACAAACGATATGATTGCCATCCGTGGCCAACCCAACAAAGTTCTTTTCGTTCTGATGGCCGCGCATCACTCGCTTGCAACGGCTGGTTTTAGCGTCCCAGAGCCGAAGAGTGCTGTCCGTTGACCTAAACTCAGAACAATGAAAATAAGGAAATCAACTTACGCTGAGACCACTTCGGCGTCACTACAGTACTTAACATACGAAACGGCCTTTTTATGGCCGCGGAATACGCTGACCGGCCTCGATGTGTTCCTCAGGTCGTACAAATGTACTCCATGATCTGCAGAGCCAAACACGAAATTATTTCGATTGGTTGGAGAGAAGTAAACACAGCAGACGTTGACCTTGGCATCAACAGTCCCCACCGAATGGGGCTGATTCATTGTCCAAATTTTAACCTAAAAACGAAAATAAAAAAAGAAGGTTTCTCTACCTTAGCATCATCCGACCCTGAGGCCATTATATGAGGATCAACATTGTTGAATTGCACTGTCCAGCATCGTTTCTCATGTTCTCGGAAAGTTTGAAAGTTTTTACAGGTATTTGTATCCCAAAGTTGAACTTTTCCATCGTAATCGCTACTGGCCAACACATGCTTTATATACGGGTTCCAAGAGACGTTACTGAAATACAAAAACCTCAATTTTAGACCATATTAGATTTTAAATTTATAAAGCGTTAAAATTCTGACCTTATTTTGCTGGTGCACTGCAATTGTTGTAACGGATAATGGATTCCAGTGTCACTCCGGACCACGGAATTGTAATCATACAATTTGATCTTTTTGGTAACTCCAGCAACCACAAAGAACTCTCCATCTCGATCGAATTCAATACTCGAAACAATGGACAAATTGGATGAGGTCTCGATATTATAATTTAGTGTGGCCAACCGTTTAATTTCAGCGTATTGCGAGATTCCAGTCAAAACATGAGAAAACTCTTCAAGATAATCTCGGCCAGGCTCGTATTTCTCTAAAAATAAAATAAAATTTAAAAGCCTTAAACCTACTAGTCACATCACTTTTGATATCGAAGTAGCATGGCTCCAAACTGCTCAAATTCTGGGTGATGCGTCTCCTCAACTTCCTCATCTGTCTTACTGTAGCAATAGAATCGGTGGAGCTCCTGGGAGAATCCAGGTCCGGATTTGGGACAACTCTCTGTGATATTACACCAGTATCTATATTAACGTTGGCCCTAGCCTTGTCCGCTCTCAGTTGAACAAGCTCGTCTTGAAGCTTATTGAGCTGTTGCTCTCTCTCATCGATAACTTGATCAAAAAATTCATTCAACAATACTCGTTTCTTCTCTTCTTCCGTCAATTTCATCGCTCTTCTTTGCCTCTTGAAGAATTCGACTGTTTCCTTTTTCAACATTGACTCCTCCAACGGCAATCCATTCCTTGTGTCGAGCAAATCGCTGATATTGTCCATGGCCAAGTCCTCCGTCATCTCACTGGCCAATCGCTTCAGAGCTTTCGTGTTTTCTCGACTCTTCTTTACATTCTCTATGAGTTCAGCGGCTTTGTGATTGGGAATAAGGTGACTGCGATTCGTCACATCGAGTTCCGTATCGCATTGAGGACAATTCGGCTTGATACTCAAATGACGAACGATGCAAGATCGACTAAACGTGAAAAAATAAAAAGTAGAAAGAGGAATTACCAAAAAGTGTGGCCACAGATGGTTGAATAAGGTGCGTTGAGGATTTGAAGGCAAATTCGGCTGGAATGAAATGAGCATGAAATACAAAAGTCATGTAAGAAGCTTTCTCAAGCTCGAAAAACAGATATTAATACCTACCAAGTTTCAGCAGACCCAGTGGATGGCCCAGCAGCTCCAGCTGATCCCGTGTCAGATGCTTCCGCCATCGATAGCACCTACAGAAGAAAGATTTGTCTTTCATAAGCCATAGAAACACTTTTTGAGCGCATCTTCAGTCGTATAAAATATCACGAAGTCTCGTTTTACGAAAGAAAAAATAATATATTTCCGCGAGCTGCGCCCGAGAAAAAATATTTGCAACAGCCGGGTTATACAGGTAAAACAAAAAGGGATTTTAACAAAGACTAGTGGAGGATTCATCTACATAGATTGTAAATTATGACATCTACTATCCTTTCCAACAATTACTGGCAATGTAATAGCTATTCATTTCCCGCAAAAACATTTTCGTAAGGTAGGGCGCACTTCGCCGATCGCCATGTCTCTCTCTTGTTTTTTTTGCTCGGACTTGGAAAAAAAAATAAATTTCCACCCTCTTACTCATGTAACTTTCTAGTCAATACCATTGTAAAATAGTCAGTCTTCTAGTAATATCAATTAGAATACTATAATTTTTATATCTACTACATTGGACTAGCAAATTTTTGTTCGAAGCATTGATATTTGGATCCAAATGTCTGCAAGATACTTTGATGGAACAGAGGTGAGTGTTTTATCTGATATTAGATTTTTTGCTTTGATTCCGAAGCTGTGCAACGGAATTTTTATATTTTAGGTATTAAATCTGGGAGGGGTAAGGTAAAGTTGAAATAAGGCGGGTTTATGGCAGTAAAAGGGACGTTGAAAGGAAGAGATCGGGAATTAATAATGAATTTGAAGTCTAGCTGCTATAAAAGACAGAATAAAAGCTTTGTCGGCCGTTTGTTTCAAAGTAGGACATTGAACTTGGATGAAAGTACAACTTTTTCTTTTTTCATAAAGAAACTTGAATCTTAACTATTCTAGAAGCTCAATTGTACATTTTAGACTGTCTTCCGGGTTATATAATCTGAAAGTTGAGTTAATATAGCTCGAAACAATCTTTTTTTTTTGAGTTTCTACCAACACTTTGTTATCTAAAACGATTTTGCGATCTAAATCTCTGGTCCCATCTTACTACTCCGTATGAGCCCTTTGAACTTTTCACTCTGAAATCTGACGATTTTTCTCAATCGGGAATTCAAAGTCACGATGATAAGACCCCGTTGTTGATAATGCGTAACTTGTTGTTTTTGGAGATAAAGAGCGCTCTAATTGACGGGCGGGTATTCAAAAAGAACCTTGATATGTTTGAATTGACTTGAAATGAAGACGGGTAAATGGAGACGAGATGTTTCGGGAGTGAGTTTCACTTTCCTTTACATGGGAGGACTTTGAGCCGGAGGGGGTAAATTTGTCAATTTTGTAATTAATTGACCGGCTAAAGTACAAACAGATGGAGGAGGGGCAAAACGACTCTTTAATTGTTGGTTTTATTCCAACATTAAAGTGGAATAATGTTAGTTTATACTGAAAACTCATGATTTTGCATAAAATTGTTCAACATAACGATAAAAATAGTCTTCATATAACGAATATCCGTTATATGAAGACAATTTTTTTTGGTTCCCAGTATAAAAATCAGACTGTGTTTACTATTTTTTGCAGTCTAGACGACAGTTTCTATTGTTGCATCTTAAAATTAGCTAAATTTTTACAATTTTTTGGGCATTTTAAGGTGTTTTATATAGAAAAGGGTCGAATTATGTCTAAAAACCGCTATTTGGGGTGGAACTAAGTCTAAAAACAGGATGTTTTTCCATATACTCTGCTTTAAAGACATCGTGTGTGGAGTAGATTTGTGTAGTATGGAGGAGAACATGGGAATCTTGGGCCCGTTTTACCATAAATTGCAAAGAAAAAGTTTATTTACCTAGTATTTTGACCCCAATTCTGGGTTTTGTATTTTCTTGCGATTACGAAACGCCGAGAATCGTATGATCAAGTTAGGGATCCATTTTTTGGTCCGCTGACTAAAATACTTTTGATAAAAATGCGATTGACATTTGAGTTTATACGAGAGAGGGAATCTATAATATGAATAAAAAATCTTGGAACTTCCATCTCAGGAAGTATAATGTGATGCTACTTCCTGGAATAAAGAAAGTTTCAGGATTCTTTTGGTTGTACAGTGGGGGACCTGATCCAGTGGCAAAAAACGCACCATTTTGCATCCAGGAAGCATCAAAAAATATGGCAAAATGCTTCCCTCTCCAAGTGAAAAAACTCAGAATTCAAAAGCGCGCAGGAAAAAGGGCGCGCCCTTCAAAACGAAGTTTTTTCACTTGCAGAGGGAAGAATTTTGCCATATTTTTGATACTTTCCGGATGCAAAATGGTACATTTTTTGCCGTTTGATCAGGTCCACCACTGTAGTATGGTATCTTAGGGATATATACTTAAAATGTGATATTCCTGCAAGTTCCTTTCCTTGCTGTCATTTCCTTTCAAAATTTCCGACGTTATCCCCTAGAGGGATTAGACCTTTTTCATAGATGAAATAAACAAAAACACGCAAATAGCCCAACAATTTTCCAGTCTAGCGGAGGAGTTATCAATTTGTCCGGGGTATTTTTCCTAAATATTTTTTTGATTATTCCTGATGTCCCAAACTCAGGATGGTTAGTCATTACAAGTTAGTCACGGAAAGAATCCCATTTACGATTTGTTTACATATTTCGGACAGGGGTTTCAGTAGAAAAGGTTTTAACATTTCACCTCTGTTTTTCGACAGAAAATTGAATAATACTTTAGAAAATTCAAAAAAAAAATATTTTTGGGAACTTCAGGCCATTCGGATTCCGGAAGTAGCGCGTTCTTTCTATAACTAGGCTATTACTCTGGCTAAAATGCATAAACTTGGTTGTGTATTATATTCGTGCGCGTTACTCCCTAAAAATTTGCTATAACGGAAAAAATTTCTAGATGACGTTGTAAAAGCGAAAATTCATTCGATTTATCATCAAAAACTGGTCACGTGGTAATCTTTGAGAGATCAAGACTTGTCTGGACGATATAAAATAGCTTATTGCGAGAGAGATTATTAACTCCGGCCAAGTTACGGTCCTGATCCAGTGCTAAAGAATATAATTGGAAGTAAAGTGGAGAAAAAAGATCGAGTTCCACTCGTCAATGACGAATAGGGCCGAAATCGGTAGTAAGAGAACAGGGACTCGGTGAAGTACTGTAAAAGTGCATATTGAGCACACCCGCACCTCGTGGAAAGTACAAAAATGCTGATCGCACCGGTGAGACGGGCCCATTTTCAACGAGCTCGTGTGAGTTTTTTTTGTCTCTTCGATGTTTCCTAACCATCTCCCCCCTTTCCTTTCTTCTCCCCGTCTTCTCTCTAAATGCACCAAAATGGAAATTCCCCAACCCTCGTCAACCGAGGGTTCGACTGCACCTTTAACGCATGCTAAGCCCTCCAGGTTGTTCCTGATTCAAAAAAATTGACCGCCGAAAAAGAGCCTATTAGGCAAAGCAGGCTTTAACCGCTTACGGACTGTTACTAGTTAAGATGGATAAGGAAGCATGTGATGGGTTGATAGATTATGGTAGTGAGAGGTCAAAGATTACGGTACGAGGTGTTTTTTGATAGAGGTGGAAAGGCGTTGTGTGCAAAAAAAGTGTAGAGAGACGGTATAAAATTGATTCTCTCTGGCGGCCATGACCAGCAGCGGTCATGTCTCGAAAGTATCGGTTATGGCCGATTTTCATAGATAGTTGCTAGTCATTGGAATGGTGTAGGTATCAAAGCACCTGTTTAAAGGAACTATTCATGATAGTGGGCAATTACCGATTCTTGTGGGCCGTAAACGCAGATGACTGCGGGTAGGACCGTACTCGGCGTTCAAATAATAAATTCAAAAATTTTGCGCCCGGGCGAAAAAAATTTGTCCAGCTCTTACAGTGAGGGACCTGATCCAGTGGCAAAAAACGTACCATTTTGCATCCGGGAAGTATCAAAGACGTGACAAAATGCTTCCCTCTCCAAGTGAGAAAACTTAGTTTTGAAGGACGCGCTTTTGAAATTGGAGTTTTTTCACTTGGAGAGGGAGATATTTTGCCACATTTTTGATACTTCCCGGATGCAAAATGATACGTTTTTGGCCACTGGATCAGGTACCCACTGTATTTATAGTGTCAAAAGCGGTCTTAATGTACGCAATTTGAATTTCAGACCGAGCCTTCTGAGCGAATCAGCGCGCACTCTTCGGAAGATGCCGGAGAATCGGGTTCGGTTCCGCTCGACGGATCACCGCTTGTCCTGGACGAGCATTCAAGACTGGAACGCAAAATCGCCAAAGTCCGCGAAAAAATCACGTGGAATACGATCGCCCGCGAAGGAGACGTCGAGGAATACCTTCGCATCACAAACGGAGTCGAGAATGTCGCGGACAATCCGCAATTAGCCAGGATTCGACAACATTTCGAGAAGAAGAACAAAAAATACAGCCAAGAAGCAGACCAGTTGCAGAAAAAGTTGGATGAACTTGAGAGAAAACTGGAGGAAGTGGATAATGGGACGGACGTCGGGAAACCGGGCCATCACAGGATGTTCCATAATGTTGGACATGGAATAAAGTGAGTTTTGAGGGGAAGAAAAACATTTTGACAATGGAAGAAGGGCGTTGATATTACAAATTTGTTATAAGAGTGCAACGAAAAGTCCCTGTTTCAAGCGGAAGTGTGGAAGGAAAGAAAAACCATCCGTAAACAATATTTGTTCAAAAATTCGAACGCAGAAACGTGCAAAACTTTAAATCTCCGCAAAAAAACAAGGAAAACACACCTCTACTGTACGTTCCCTGTTATCATCATGTCTCTAAAAATAGATCAAACACCACGCTTTTCGAAATGCTTCAAGAGCTATTCATTTATTTTTTCAGACCCTTTTTTGCCGTCGGGGAAAATACCCAAAGGGAAAATGAGAGATTTCGAAGCGGAGAATACGAAAATAATCTAACAAAGATTTGTGAGTCATAAGCATGTGAGAAAGTAGCATCAGAGAAAATTGAAATTGAAAATTGCGAAAAAAACTTTTTAATTTTACATAAACTTACAGAAAAACGGGTGTAAATCTACGGGAAATGACCGGCAATGTAATCAACGCCCCTCTGGACATTGCGCAGAAGGTCAAACGCAACGTCTTCGGATCAGCAGACAACATTCCAGCGGCCGTAACAGAGAGTAAGAACTATTTTAAAAATCCTTGCATTCATGGTGACAAGTGTAAGATCCCGAGTTTAGATGCCGGTTCGAATGTGGGACAATCAATATTCTACGAGAACGGGTATCAGCCACAGTCAACGGCGTCACTAACAGAAGCGTAAGTGTACGCACAGTGCATTCAGACAGGTTTTCTTGCACTGCACAGTGCAGTTTTAAAATTTTTTATTTTTTTTTTTGTTTTTAGGGAACCAAAAAAGAGCGTACAAACTCCCATTCGGAACGAAATAGAACCATCAAATCGACTATCCATCCATTACGATGAAAACGAGATCAACCTCAGGTTGATGAAGGAAGTGGAACATCTCAAAACGCAAAATTCTTCGTTGAAACATCAACTTGAAAACTTGAAGGTAAATCTGGACTTTTGTTCATAAAAATATTCTTCCAGAAGGAATCAGAAAATGAAGTAAAGACGTTGCGGATGGACCTAATTGCTTCAAATTACAAGATAACGGTAAGGGGTTTTTTAAATTTATCTTTTGGATTTAGAAACTGGAACAAAGCCTAAATGAGACGATGGACCTTCACCAAAATGAAGTCAAACAGCTGAAGAATGACTTGAATTTGATTGGAACTCGAATGGATTATCAATATAACGATAGGTTCAAGAAAATAGAAGAGGGAATTGAGAATGCGCAGAATCGAGTGAGTTGCATGTTTTTTTGTAAAAAAATATGCCTGCAAGGCCTCGAAAACGGTCGTCAACCAATTATTATTGCCCATTGCCTCATTTGGGCTTCAATTTCAAGCTTTACGGACCGAGGGAAAGACTTGACTCAATTTGAGTCAACTCTTTCTCTGGTCAAAGTCAGGCCTTGTGGATATTGTAAAGTTAAAGTATGGTGTCGTGTTGTATTTTCCTGACCTACTGTTTCAATTTTCAGATGTATCGAATGGAAACGAATTGGCATGAGAACTCGGAGAAACTCCTCGGCGCTGGCCAAAACATGTGGAATGCGGTCATGCTATCGTTCGCAAACATTGTCGTAGAGGTCCTGAAGATCATCCTATACGTGGTTGCGGTTGTCTTGGACTCGATAAAACCGTTTACAGGGACGCGGTAAGTGTAATATAAATTTTGTAGAAATGTGGGGAAAATAGTGGTCTCTGGGCAAATGTTTTGGATCTGCATTACCTTTTTTTGCGATTTGTTTTATCCTTGTGTAGTTTTTGTTCTTTTTGGATGTCCATATGAGAATTTATAGGCGTTTCCACGCTCAAACCCGATGTTTTCTCTCATTATGATCAATAAAAAAATGTTTTCCTTAAATTGTAATATTTTTCCGTTCAGAAGAAGAGCCGGCTTTGTACTACTTGGTATCCTCTCACTTTTCATCTTATGGAATCTATTCGGACCTCGCACCGCACCAATACGACCGCCTATATCAACGACTTCCGAGACCCAACCGTCATGACCATGCGTAATATAAAAACGGTACAAATTGCTAACTAGTATTATACTTAACCGGGTTCATACATTCTCATTTTTTCAAGGCTACCCTATATATTGATATTGTCGAATTAAATTAGCCAATTTTTTGTTTGCACTCTAGCCAAATCTTTTATGGTCAAACTCAGCCAGTAGGTGCCTCTGAAGCAATTTTTCACTTGATAATCCCGCCCTCCACCTAATGACTAGTCCATATTGTTTTCCATGCCGATGTAATTACTATGTCAGTTGTCAAAATACGCTCATCTGCTTATCGAAATTCAATTTTTAGCGATTGTTGCGATCATGATTTGTTAATTAAACTGCTAATGCTGAATATTGTTCGATTTGTTAGCAAAATCGCGGATTTTTTTCGACATCTTACCGCAATCTTTTATGTACAGATACTGTAGAGAAATTTCAACAAATTGTAAATGGACTTTATGTTGAAGGTTCATCGTACTCCGTGATACAGTAATCCGGCCCATTGATAGGTGATGCACGATATCCTCGGGAAACCAATCGACAACGGTGCTCGTGAAGCCGAGGCCACGCCTGATCCGCGTCAGTAGTCTGTTTCGGGTTACTCCAAAGTCGCTCGGCCACTGCCGAAGCGCGGGGCCTAAAATTATATCAAGAATTCCAACCGCCGATAAGGGATGATTTGGGAAACGGATTATTTGGGAATCAAAAAATTAGTTTCGTCTTGTTTGCTAGCAAGGTTCAGCCACCCTTCAAAAACGGGGTTGACTTGTCGCAGTCAACCAAGCTCGGACATCTAGGCTATTGGGAAGGGCTTCTTGAGCAGAAGGGTTGAGACTCGGATCATAACGCGCTGGGTTGTGATCTTCGCGCGAACTGAGAACTTAGTTTAGGCTTGCCTAGGCTTAATCTCGCTTAGGCTTAGCCTCGCCTAGGCTTATTCTCGCTTAGCCTTAATATATCCTTTCCTTACCACAAAACGGATTCAATATTTGTTCCGTCGACAAATTCTCCCCACAACGCCGCAATTCCTCCCAAAACCAGCTTTTTCTGCTCTTCGCTTCCGTTGAAACCTCGGGGATTACAGTAATAGAATTGGCCGGATTTGCTGCCCTCATCCTTCCAATCGGCTCCATAGTTTACATAATTTAAATACCAACAGGAAGACAGTATGACTTCATGCCCTGCGGCGGTATATCGCTGCAACGCGTCGTTTCGAGCCTTTTCCGACGCGGAGTACCATACATGGACCACGGATTTTGGGTACTGAAAATCTTTTGTGCAAAAATGCAGAATCAAAAAAAAACAAGGCGAAAAAATGCTTACCGGGTTGTTATACTGGAACACCTCTTCCCAAAACACCATCCTTGCCTCCTTATCCACTCCAATAATATCCGAGATTAGGTCTTGTAGGCTAAAACAAGGTATTTTTTTGGGTTTCTTTCGATTACCGATCGTAGTAATAGTTCTCCAGCATTGTTGTGTTCTCATCAAAGCCCTTGTGCATCATGAAATCGCGTATTTTTGGGTTCGTTAGCCAACACGTCTTCCAGAATCCGACCTCATCCCCGCCCAGGTGAATGAATTTTTCGGGGAAAACGCTCAAAATTTCGTCGTAAAAGTTGCGCAGAAAGGCGTAGTTCCGCTCCAGCGTCGGATCAATGATGTTGGAGAGGACGCTGTGCCCGCTTTCGTCGTGACATTCCGCCAACAGGCCCAATTCCCCCTTCCACGAGGCCATATGGCCGGGGGTGTCGAACTCGACCATCACGCGGATTCCGCGCATTTTGGCGTGATCGATGATCTCTTGGACTGTGTTCTTGTTGTAGACGTGCGAAGGTGTGTAGGCACTCTGAAAACGAGGGAAAGTGGATTTGTCTTCCGGCAGGCATTGAGGGAGATGTCGGCGCAATTCCCAATACAGTGGGGGACCTGATCCAGTGGCAAAAAACGTACCATTTTGCATCCAGGAAGCATCAAAAAATGTGGCAAAATACCTCCCTCTGAAAGTGAAAAAAACTCAAACTTCAAAAGCGCGCCCGCGGGCTCTTTTTGTGAGGGAAAGTGTGCGCCCTTCAAGATTTTTTCACTTGGAGAGGGAAGCATTTTGCCACATTTTTGCCGGATGTAAAATGGTACGTTCTTTGCCACTGGATCAGTCCATCACTGTAGCAATGTCGACCCTCTACCCTCTAAGCCCCACGTTTTATCATTTTATCCACGTTTCTGCCCGGCTCGTCAAGGCTGGGTTAACTGAAGGCATGGATAACTGAAAATCACATAACATGGAGGGCTATAATGCTCTTATTCTGCACCAAAAAGACAAAGCTATGAATTTTTTGATCCTCAATTCTCTCCTTCCTGAACCGTTGTTTGCTTATCAGTCTGTCGGGAAAATAATGTCGATTCGCCGAGCCTTGAAAACCCGTCATCGCTTTGCGACGGCTGGCGATTTACACGACTAGGAAGGACGTTTTGTTGCGGCGAATCCATATTATTTTCCCGACAGACTGATTTTGTCATTTTCTCCAATTACCGACTCAGTTGCTTGTGCAAAAAGCCTTGTTGTTTGACTTACCCTCTCTGACAAATGCGGATACTTCTTTGAGACATACGGAAATGATTGGGAATCCACAATATGCCAATGCAGAAGGTTGAACTTGTTCTGCGCCATAATGTCCTAAAGAAATATTTGAGATCGTTGACTTCTTACCAGTTGTCTCATCAAAATCTTCTTTGGGATGTAATGCCGAGCGGTGTCGATGAGAACCCCACGAACTGTGTATTCGGGCCAGTCATGAATCACGGCGGTTCGAACGAAATGCTGAATGAGTGTATTGAAACACCTTTTAAGGTAGTCAAAATTTAAAAAAAAGCTCGAAGATACAGTGGCGGACCTGATCCAGTGGCAAAAAATGTACCATTTTGCATTCCGGGAAGGATCAAAAATGTGGCAAAATGCTTCCCTCTCCAAGTGAAAAAACTTCGTTTTGAAGGGCGCGCCCTTTTTCTCACAAAAAGTGCTTTTGAAATCGGAGTTTTATCACTTGCAGAGGGAAGCATTTTGCCACATTTTTGATACTTCCCGGATGCAAAATGGTACGTTTTTTGCCACTGGATCAGGTCCCCCCTGTAAGTCACCCGAAAATGCAGATTACGCAATGCTTCAAAAAATCAAATTTTGAGCCTTGTGGCCAAACCTATTACCGCTCCTCTTGTCTGGAAGATGAGCTGGCTAAAGCTTTCGAGTCCTCTCAGAATTCCCCAAACTTCATCCGCTTCCAGCACCGCGTCACCAGCAACGGGAACTCGTAGATAGTCTAAAAGATCGGGGTTTCGTTTTTATTCGTCGTCTTACACTCCTCATTCATTCCCTGCTGTGGATATTCGTCCTTTTCTGGGCATTTCGCATCACTTCGAATGATCAGTTTGAGGCCTCCGGGACTCGCGGCGGGATTTCGATTCGGGAAAAACCATTCTTTCTCTAAACAATTGAAGTTTCGCAATGCTTGACCCTTATCTCATCAAAAATCTTACGGTAGGTCCGTTTCGCGAACTCCAAAATATCGCAATCCACATCCCTAATTCCTTGCCACGCAATCATAATCGAGCCTCTTCGAATGGTCCGATTCTCTTTGCCATATTCGGCCTTTTGTGGCAATGGCCAAACCTCGCCCCGACTTGTCGCATGAGGCGATGGCCAACCAATGTCGGGCAGTTCATCGGTTGCTGCGACATTTTTAAGTTGTAATATAGTAATTGAAACAATAGCAATCAGCAAAAACATTCGATTTAAGCAAACTAGGCGTATAATACAGTAATATTAGGTTAGCTATACAAGCCAGTTGGATAAAAGGTTATGACTGCTTGAAGTCAGCTTTCTGGATGTTGACCGGTCACTTCAGCTGATCAAACATTTATAAATTAAGATTTTTTTTTTGGTCAAGCCACCAGAAAAACAGATATTCACACACATGGACGTACTAGACTTCAAAAAAGTCCAATTTTTCGAAGTCTGGGCTTCAAAAATGCTTTTTGGTCTATCTATTACGCAGAAATTTTACTAGATGTCTGATAAATTTCTAAGCTTTACATAAAAAAATGTGACAAAAATTTTTTTAGACTAAAATTTTCCAACCAAAAATATTCGATAATCATGCAAATTTTATCAAAAGTCATTTCAAACAATTTGAGTCTCACTCTTGTTCATCCTGCAAAATGAAGGCGGCTGCGAGCCCGATGGCGGATTCGCCGAGACCCGCGTCCTACGTGATCCTCTCCGTGGACCCCGAAAAAGCTACGTTTCTGGACACTGGCGGCCGCTCCGAACACATGTTGGCCAACTTGGGCGACACTCGACTGGCGGTCAAGGTAACGACGGGCACGGAATTGTCAGACTATTCAAAATTTTTAGTAAATCCCACCTCGTTTTAGGCCAAATGCAGCGATAATAATCTCTATCGCGTGAATCCAGTGTATATCTACATTGAGCCGGGTCAATGTCACAATCTTCTGATCAGCCGACTTCCAGGTAGAAAAGCAATATTTTTTACCCCTTTCCAGGGCCTCCAAAGAACGACAAGCTGGTTTTGCACTATATTCAAGTCAAGGAACCCGCATCGGATATTAAGGAAGTGTTCAAGAATTCAAGCAGCACGGATACGATCAAGATCCCAATGTTATGCCTCTCTCATGAAGACGTGCCTGTGATTGGGAACGCTGTTGCCGAGAAGAAATGAATTTTTAAGCAAAATAAACAGCTCAATCCTCCTTCAACTACCGACGGTTAGAATATGATTTATAACAAAAAACAAGTAACAATTGGATATTGTAGTAGATGAAGGTACTAGACCTTCTTGGTGACCTTACCACTCTTCCGCTTCACATTCAACTTCCTCTTCTGTCCCGCCTTGGGTTTCGGAGGTGGTGGAGCAGCCTCCTCATCACTTCCTGACTTGTCTGACTGCATTTCCACATCTGGTTCGACTTCTTTCTCTTGTTCACCATCAGATCCACCTTGTTTAGCTTCTTCCGCCGCTTGTTTCTCCTGTGCTGAAATTCAAAAGATTTAGAAATGTTTCTATAAGTGCAAGACTACTTTTACGACAGATTCGCTGCTGCAATGACACAATATGAGTCTGTTCTGACCATACACTGAATGAAGAATACAAACCTACCAATTTTTAAGCACTTGACAAACTTCTGCCCATTAACATGATGTTCCAAATCTTTTCCCTTTCTGGCAATCGTCTTCATGGTCAATTTGCACCCGAACAGGTTGTTTCTAAACCCAAAATCAGAAATACTTTCAAGAACTTACCCCAGATTTTCGAAATACTGCTCATACTTGTCCATAACCTTTTTGATTAGCCATTCATTGACAAAGCGCTTCGTTGTAACATAGTTTTTAACATCGTTTGCTCTGTTAGGTAGTTCATGACCAGTCAATGTGCATCTCAACTGAAAATGGAAGTTCGAATCGAGGAAAATATTAGCTTACTTTACCATTATCCAACTCTTCGAAGACGTTGTACTCTTTCAGCAGTCTCTTCAGCTCTTTGTCGCTCATTCTGGCCGCGAAAGTTCCCGACAGATCTTGCCAAAATTACTTTCCCGAGGAAAACGAAAGAATTTTGGCTTGCTGCAGAATGCCAAAAATGTTTTCGCGCCGAGAGATCAGCCGAGTCACTGTGCTTTCTAAAGCCATACCATACTGTATTTCAGCTGCGCTGTCATTACCAATCCCGGACAACTTAGTTGTGGCATATTTACTGCAACTAGTAACATTCAGCACACTGAAATCTAAAGCTTGACAAATTTGTGATAATTTACATTTATTTTCACGCTTATCGCAAATCATCGTAAGATGTCTTGTTTAGCATCAGAATTCACTAAATACGAGAATTAGACTCCGCAGAGGCCCGGTCAGCGGCTTTATTTTAAAATGTGTTGCTTTTACTGTGAAGACCTTGGTCAATACAGAAAAAGGAAATAAACAACAACTAAAACAAAAATTAAACTTCTACTTGTATAAAAATAGTAGCAGGCAACAGTTGGTTGTAACATCAAACTCGTTTCTCTCGCTAACATTCCTGTTTTAGGAGCTTCGTGCGAATCCGCAGGCTGCAGAGTGCTGCCAAGCTCGGGCGCGGCTCGCAGTTCGCTATTTTTTCGTATTGCTCGCAAAAACGATGCGCGGTCTTTTTTTGCAGGGTTCCAGATTCCGAATCTAGCCAGAATAAAAAACAACAGGTCAGTTTATCTCAATTTTATGTAATTTACGTCCTTTTTTGTTGTTCTTTTGTGCGAAATTCGTAATTTTATCTTAATTGATTTTATACCGTGCGTTTTAAGAGGAGATTCGGCTGATAGTGTGTAGATTTATTCCAAGATTTCGGAGCTTATTCTCTGTGTAGTTTCGGATTTTAATGCAAAGTTGTTTTTGCTCTCGATTTGTACGAAAGCTTTATTTTAGGTATAGTCCTGCCCGAAAACGGGAAATTTTCGTGCTTGTTGGATGCGCGGAGTCGAAATAATTTTGAATATTTACAGTAACAATTACGCACCATTCAAGACGGCGATCTTCAGCTTCCGAAGCATACTCCCTAATGGGTAAACGAAGGAATGATCGGGACGATTCTTATGAAGAATATAAACGACGGAGAGAGTCCTCAAGGCATCGACGAAATGCCTGCCGGGAAGAACGGGCGAGAAGGAGGTCGAAAGAGAATAAAGAGCGCTTTGAGAGGTTACGGAACGACCCGGACCGATATCTGGATGGCCACAAGAGGTCCAACTACAAGGATAAGGTAAAGCTTTTTTTGATTTAACATGTTTTGTCTTTAGAATTGCTCTGCGTTGAGGTTTACGGCGAACTGTGGCTTTATTAGGGGAAATGCTGGTAAAAAAATTTTGGTTAAGTTCAATGCTTTGGATATTATTTTAGACCCGAAAAACTTTCAACTTGATTCCGCCGAATTTTTCTTTATTCCAACTGTAAAACACACGAATGGTTGTTTTGGGTAGATTTGTCGCTTTGTCAATAGAGTAACCGCCTAAATTATTTTTTTAAACCTTTTTATTAATTACTAAACTATCTAAACACTGCAGCAGGTACGAAGATTAGTTGTTGGATATTTGTTGTTTGACAATGTGTTTTTGGGGTTTGATGTAATTTTTTAGTGGCGTTGAATTTAGCTGCTGCACTTCTGAAAGAGCTGAAATTTATCACTAAATCTGAAACAAAATGAAGTGTTGGATTAATAAGGATAGATGTGTAGAATTTATTTCGATTAGGATTATTGTGGAAAAAAGTTTCTAATCGACGACTTAAACCGACAAACCCACTAAATGCATTTTTAAAGATGATTTGCTCTCGAGACATTTTCCCGTGTTTCCTCGATGAGATCAAATATCATTACCAAGACCTCCTACAATCATATAAAAACAAGTAGCACTCTGCTTTGATCTCGACTTGAAATTTGTCTCATTAACGAGGATTCAGAACATATGCGGCGGCCATACATCGGAGAGCCGCTTTATCCTCCTCGTTCTTTATAAAACGTAAAGAGTTTCGCTGACCAGATCGACGGAGAGTCGAAAAAAGTGCCTCGAGGGGCCGTTCTGATCTCGCGTCATTGTGCCCGTCGAAGCAGTTGTTTTGCCTTCCTCACCAGTACATGTTTTGTGCGCCCTTGAGGCGATCGGGGCGAAAAACTTTCGCAGGTGTTGGACTCGAAACGCTCTCTTGATCTCTCCGAGCGGTTTTTCGGCCGAAACGGCAACTGATCCGGCCGAAATCACTACTCGTGCGATCCTGGAAACGCCGACCTCTCTCGTCCGCATTCGTTGTATGGCTTGCTCTCTCGCTGACTCTGCACGGCCAAGAGTTTTTGTCCTTTGGGGCATGTGCGCCCAATCCCACGGCGGATCGACGGCTTTTGTGCCACGAAACAACTGATTATTTTCCCCTTCTTTTCTTCTCTTCTTCTTTTTTTCGTGTCCTCCTCAGGTTTAAGTCCGATCAGTCCAGCACGGGTTCCATTTTGAACTTGTGATTATCACCAATTTCACTGACTTGTAAGTGGTTTACTCATTTCGGTTCCAACTGGGTTACCTACCTACTTTATTATGTTGTCATTTTCGTGGGTGAAGTGCCCGAGACCTTAGTAATAGTTAAGTCGTTCAACGACGTCATTTAATAGTTTTATGGCCTTCTCGAGCTCTAGTGCTCCTTTTTGAAATTATTTTTTAGAGGATGACATTGTACGATTTGTCAAATTGACGATTTTCGGATTTGAAGGGCCAGATGGGTAGATTAGGTAATGCATAGGCGAGATTATAATTTCTTGCGTTTTCCTTCAGAAGTCCGCTGTCACGTTGACGCTCATTCCACGCCAAAAACGTCTTCCCATCAGGAGAAAGCAGGGCCTGCGGCCGACCGTCTCGCATTCTCGACGAAAGAATTTGACGTTTTCCTCGATTCCGCCTTCGCCGGTCATCGCGGCTCGGCGCAGAGCAACTTGTCCTGGCGCCGCGACCGTCTCGAACCGCCGGGTTCTCATTCCTCGGCCAGCAGTCGTTCTCCGGCCGTTAATTCACTGGTGTATTCGGACCGCGCAATCATTCAGTCCACGTCGCAAATCCACTTCGATCGGCGTCCGAAAGACGCCATGTCGAAGAAAGTGGACGGTCTGAAACGCCTCCCATTGGTGGTGATCCCAAAACGACGGAAACATAAAGATTATGTCTCCAGAAGAAGGAATACTCGCGCTTCTCAGCTCCGAAAATGCACTTCGGATCCGCAGATTTACAAGAGCTACAATCACTGGAGCAATCTGCAGCGAAAGGATAACCTGGCACTGTCAACAACTCAATCTACCGAGAAATCGGCGGAACCGGCGCTGAAAACGCAGAAAACGTCTTCAAAAGATTTGGCAAATATCCTTAAGCCACCCGAGGAAATGGCAGTCCGAAGGGTGGTCAAAAAGAGTGATAGTAAACACAGCAGGTCGAACCTGGACAGAAAGGTATCAGCCACGAAGAGGCGACGAGCTGAAGAGCTGAGTCAGATCAAGAAGGAACTATTGGAAGCTGCGAAATTACCCCAACTTTCGAGGATTCCAAAACCAAAAGAAAGCGATGATGTCAAAGCCAAGAACACGGTGAATGCGGTAACGGCGGCCTTTGCTCTGAAAGAACCGAATTTCGCGAAGGAGAAGAAAGAACCCGCGAATGTAAAGGAGAAGGAAAAAGAAGCCCAGCCCAGCACTTCGGCGACTCAAGCCAGTCCGGCAGTCGCCAAAGTCTCCGCGAAACCTCCGGCATCGCCCTCGCTCGGCCAACGACGGAAATTCAACAACGATGCGAGACTGAATGTGGCGGTTTTACAACCAAAGCAACTCAAGTTGCCGCCAAACGAGGGTTCCGAGGTGCCGAATGAAACCAAGGAGCCGGAAGCCACCACGTCGGACGAGAAACCGAAGGAGGAAAAGAAACCGAAGAAACAAATCGATCCGGAGCTGTTGAATCGGCTGAAATTGGACACAAGTGTCCTCAAAAAGATTGATAATATCATTTCTGGTGGAGTCAAAAAGCCTGTACAAAATTCGGTTGGTGTTTTTGAGGGAATTTTTGGGTTTGAAAAAGAGATTTTTTTTCTTGCATGAACCTCGACGCAGAATCAGAATTAATTTTAATTTTTTTGATGTTTGAACATAACGTTTTAGAATGACTACCACTACAATTACAAAGTCGGAAGCTCGGGGGGCCGCGGCGATCAGTACGCCTCGACCGCGCAGTCCACGTCCTACAAGCCGCCAATTCAGGACGATAAAGACGGGCATTTGGTGTATCAACCGGGCGATTCGATCGCAAATAAGTGTAAGTTGTTTGAGGAGAGGTGTTTTTTACGATTTTTTGAGACGTCGGCTTGAAGTTTGGTGACAATAAAGTGGTCAAATTTTAGATCAGATTGTTCGCACACTCGGCGAAGGGACTTTCGGAAAAGTGGTGGAGGTCAAAGACGCGAATCGAGGATCCCATAGATTTGCTCTCAAGGTGATAAAGAATGTCCCAAAATATCGCGACGCCGCCCGATTAGAGATCAACGTCCTCAAAAAGCTCATGGAAAAGGACCCATCGGGCACGCATTTGGTCATCCAGTTGTTGGACCACTTCGACTTCCATGGCCATATGTGTTTATTGTTTGATCTATTAGGTCTAAGTGTATTCGATTTCATGGTAAGTTCGCAAATACCGGATCAAGAAGATGAAACGGTAAAAAAATTTTTTTGTGTAATACAGTAGAGATTTTTGGGATTTTTGCATGCAATATAATGTTCTTCGAATTGCAGAAAAATAACGACTATAACGGGTATCCGATGGAGCAAGTGCGCTACATCAGCTATCAACTTTGTCACGCGGTCAAGTTCATGCACGAAAACCGCCTCACTCACACCGACCTGAAGCCGGAGAATATTTTGTTTGTGAACAGCGAATATCGCATCGAACAGGGCCGCAAACGACCGATCAAAGTCATCGAAGACGCGACCGTACGGCTAATCGACCTGGGCTCTGCGACCTTCGACCATGAACATCATTCCACAATCGTCTCCACGAGACATTACAGGGCTCCGGAGGTCATTTTGGGTAAGGTTTGGGGCTAATTTTTGATCTTGAGGTGGGTTAGGAAATAGGATGGAGCTGTTGGCCAGGAGAAGGCGCGGCGAAGGGCTGTAGATACGAGTGATTTTACAGTGACGGACCTGATCCAGTGGCAAAAAATGTACAGTTTTGTATCAGGGAAGTGTCAGAAATTGCCAAAATGCTTCCCTCTCCAACTAAAAAATGCCGTTTTGAAGGGTCCTCACAAAAAAGCGGGCGCGCTTTTGAAACCTGAGTTTTTTCACTTGGAGAGGGAAGCATTTTGCCACATTTTTGATACTTCCCGGATGCAAAATGGTACGTTTTTTGCCACTGGATCAGATCCCCCACTGTATTTGAAGTCAAATTTTTCGCGGACTTGATGTTTACACATGTCATTTTAGAACTGGGCTGGTCACAACCCTGCGACGTCTGGTCGATCGGCTGCATCATGTTCGAACTTCACATGGGCATCACTCTCTTCCAAACGCACGAAAACCGCGAACATCTTGCCATGATGGAGAGGATTCTCGGCAACATTCCGTATCGGATGATCAAGAGGACAAAGTGAGTTTTGGGATTTTTTGGATTTTTAGAATGTCTAGAGTATGTTTGAGGTTTATTTTGAACATTTTAGGACAAAGTATTTTTACCACAACAAACTCGATTTCAACGACAACTCAACCTCAGGCAGATATGTTCGAGAACAGTGCAAACCGCTATATGTAAGTTTGGAGAGGGATTTTGGGGTTTTATTTTGGTTTACAGTACAGGGTATAGTGAAAGATCTCGAATGACATAAGTTTTTTATGGTGGTCAGATACGATTTTGTTCGAAAGAGGCTCTTGAAAATTAAAATTTTGTGATTTTTTGCGGGTTTTATGATTTTTTCCACGACGTTTTGCCGTAGTAACAAACGTTTGCATGAATGTTTCCGAAAAATCACACCAGACATGAGTCGATTCGCACCTGGTCAATTCCTCCTCCCTTTTCCTCTCTCCCTCTCTTTAATCAAAGACAGGCCCTGAAGGGGATTAGCCCGCCGGGCATTATATAAACCGAAAGCCCGTTCCGAATGTCACCTGATCCACCCGGCTGAGTGATTCCTGGAAACCGGGGACGCCCTCTCTTGATCCCCCACAGGTTTTTCGCCGCGATGTTTTTGACCCAAGGGCGCCGGAAACGCATGCCCGGAAGGTATTTTTAGCCCGCTGCGAAAGTTTCGAAAATTGAGACAAAAACAAATTGAAACGATCAATTAGTAAGCAGGACGAAAAATTGGAAAAATTGTTTCTTGAGATGTGTAAATAGATGATTAATCTATGACAGAAATTGGGATTTTTGATGGCAAATGAAAATAACGGCGAATTTTACAGTGGGGGACCTGATCCGGGGGCAAATAACGTACTATTTTGTATCCGGGGAGTATCAAGAATGTGGCAAAATTCGTCCTTCTCCAAGTGAAAAAACTACGTTTTTAAGGGCGCGCCCTTCCCCTCACAAAAAGAGCGGGCGCGCTTTTGAAAACGAAGTTTTTTCCCTTGGAGAGGGAGGTATTTTGCCACATTTTTTGATGCTTCCTGGATGCAAAAGGTACGTTTTTTGCCACTGGATCCGGTCCCCCACTGTAGATGATTAATCTATGATAAAATTGGGATATTTGATGACGAGTGAAAATCATGGCGAATTTATGGGCCATTTGAGATAATTAAGAAAGTAACAAGACTATAAAGGCGAATTAAGTGATTCAAAACTGATGCCTAATGTTTTTCAGAGATATATGGAGCAAAAGGACCCCGAAACCCTAGAACTCTTTGACCTCATCGACAAAATGCTGGATTACGAGCCAACATCCCGTCTCACATTGGTCGACGCACTTCAACATCCATTTTTTGCTCGAATTCAGCCTCATCAACGGTAGGTTTGGGGATTTTTAACGGAAGTTAGCTGAATTTGGAGTTGAATTTGGTCAAAACCAGCCTAGGAAATACCATACCCAACCTTGAACACGGCAATTTCAGGCTCGACCACCTGCTGACCTCGAATTCCCGACCGCCGGCCAGCAACGGCGGCTCGGCCGCGAACAACGGCCGAACGGCCATGTGAAAAACGAATGTTCTCGACGAAAATCGGTTCCGGGTATCGCAAAGCGCTCTTTGGTTCTTACCTTGTATTGTCCCCTCTCTCTGCTCAACGGCCGCACGGATTTGAATAAAGCGGCCGAAACGAGATATGAACGCATTTTTTTGTATATTGGTAACAGGAATGTAAAATGTCTAAAATGGTCGAGTTTGGAAGGAATATTTTTTTTCGTTTTTGGTGAAGTTTTTAGGATTTTTATCACGCATTCTCTCTATTTTTTTCTGTTTTAACTTTGTGTTGTTATTAAACCTATTTATAGCGATATAGCGACTAGAGGGATATTGTTGTAAATACGGCAAATTCACCGTTTTCGGACCGTTTTCATCATTGTTACTTTATATATGTCGATTTGTTTTCATAAACTCGTCATCACTGTACACTTGTTGACACCATCTTCTTCGGAAAAGGAGGATTCGGCCGCGTTTCGGCCGAAAATTTCTCTTATCTCCCCTTATCACAGCCCCCAGAAAAGACCTCCGATAATTGAATTATTGTTTCGCGACTGTATTTTTTATGTTTTCGATACTTTTCTTATATAATAGTTATGTAACAGACGTAGCTTTATATAAAGCATATATCGTTAGTAAAAGGTATGATTTACGTATGGAAAAAGTTGGATCATGTCTTCTAATACAACTGCTTCTCCTTTCGTGGAACTGCTCTCCATTCGTATAACGGCATAAACGAGTGTTTGAAGTTGACGTCGGCATCGATTCGAGGAAGGAGAACCAAGGTTCGATCGGCCCCAGAAATGAATGGACTAGCCAGAGCGGTGACGAATCGAACTGAAAATGCGAAATAAAGCAGGGAAGTCTGCAAGGCAAGTGCCACACGCACGTCAAACTGAGGAATCCGATGAGCGGAATAGTCCCTTCGCTATCGGTTTTTTACACTTCGTCTACATTTCACAGAGAAGACAGAGACTTTTCTCTCTGTCTTCTCGCGCAAAAGCTCTCTCGCCCCAAAAATTCCCCATTTTTTCCCCGACAAAAACCTTTTTCGTATCTCTTTTTGGAGAATTGCCAATCCGTTCATTCACGGGGTCGTTTTAGCTTCTCTCAGTTTGACGTGCCACGCTCCGATACTTGACGCAAATTTGGTGTACTTTTCGGATCGACGACGGTTCGGGTGAACACTAAATCGATCGATACGAAGCCTAGGACAGATGAAGAGCCGCAAAAGGGTGGCAGGAGGTGCCTACGAGGTCTGTGAACCCCGTTGAATGACTCGGCGGAGACTTGGCAAAGACTCACAATATAGCCACTTTCTTTGATTTTAGTTATTACTAACTCTAGTTTTCATAATCCTGAGTTATTGTGGAAAAGACCAAAACGTACTCCAAAAAGCGAAGATCCGTAAGTCTGATCCGGCTATTATGGCAGTAATACATGCATGCGAAATACTTTAAAAAATATGATAAATTATCCTGATCGTCTTCTCCAAGCCTTCCCCACGCATACAATGGCAAATTGAGGCACCTCAAAGTATCGTCGACCCGAACTGTCGTTGGCCCTCTGCCATGCGCTAGTTAAAATTTTCCGGATTTTATACATGACCTGGACAAAAGCTGTGTGCAGAACTGAAAGAAAATTTGATCGTCGCGCCTTCAGAATTTCCCTTACAAGGGATCGGCAAAAGCGCGCATCCTGGTTTTTTCTTGAAACATATACCATTTGAAAGAGCGTAAAAAACTGGTCTAGGATCACCTTTTATTAGCTGCTATTTTTGCTCTACGTCCTAGCTAGCGAACATTTTTTAAAAAATCCCGGTTGGATTTCACGACTCATTGCTTCTGAACGGCTAAAAAGATTCAATAATTACTTTTCATATGTCCCATACGTACCTATGACGTCCAACGCTTCACCCTATGCCAAAGAATACACACTTTTTTCCGACCTTGAGATACCCAAGTCCATGTTCACAATGTGTGATCACGCGATCTTTTAGGTCGTGTAACCCAATGCAACATAGCGGGTAGAAAACATGTAAACCGTTTTCAGACTCAATTTTCACGTACTTTCCGTTACTGGGCTTAATTCGTAAAAATCTGAAAGTCGTTGAAAGTTCCAGCCATAAAAGATACCCACTTCAAGGGCAAGTACTACAAACAATGAAAGAATTTAAAAAATCTCCGTTTTTTCTTAAAAAACTAATCCGATTATACCACAAATGTCTACACGACACTCAAACACTATTTCCAGGCCTTATTTGGTTTGCAATATAAAGAAAATCAAAAAAAATCAAAAGAGGTTTCGAACCCGGTTCGCAGGTTCGCCTCGTTCAGCGCATTTCACCACTAGGCCACCGAAGCACCGCCGCGCTGTGCTTTGGAAATCGTTCGGATTTGTTTCCTCGTAAAAAGGGTGAAATAAGCCTAGAACTAAATAATGCTCGCTAGCGAAGGCGTAGAGCAAAAATAGCAGCTAATATTAGGTTGATACAAAAGTTTTTACACATGTCTTTAAAAAATTTTAAAAAATTTAGACCAAAGCCAGTGGGCCTGATATATATCTTGTTAGAAAGAGGGCTGTTTGTAGATTATAGTAGATTAATAACTTTTTACAACTCAGCAATTTGTAGTAGTAGCGCCGTGTTAAACCTTAACTACTCGAAGGAAGAAAAAGTAAACCGCCGGCGTTACGTCTAGAGTGGCTGTATCTTCTTAATATTCTAGAATATGGTATGCCTGTATGTAATCTCTATGGCATCGAGGACAATTTACTATAGGGCTAGTCGAAAAATTTTTAGTGCGAAAAATCAAAAATTAGGGTCTGGCAAAAGTAGACCCTGTAGACGCAGCTATTAGAAGCACTAAGTGATAACGCTTTCTGTTATTGTAGTGTATGAGTAGCACTACAACGCCAATGCTAAACATTCGCGCTAGCTTTAGCTATCCGGCAGAAAAATCGAATCTTTTTAATCTACCAATATTTTACGTAATTTAGGGGATTTTTACAAAAACGTTTTCTGTTCATTACTCTCGCCCGGTATCCTAGTTATTTAATAAATAATTGATCCTACTTGACATACACTATCAGTTGCTAGACGCGCTAAGCTGAAGGTCCTCTTGAAATACCATTAAAAAAATCACAAAAATTCGCCTAAAAGTGCAGTTTATGCTACTTTTCTACCTTATAAGGCAATTTCAGTTGGTGACTTTTTGAATGTATCATCAGCATACTGTCTTTCTACAACCTGAATGGCAGCCGAGTCAAAAAAATATAACTCCTTTCAAAAAATTTTTAAAAATCTGCTTTTGATCGGTAGCTCGGCTCTCCGGCCAACTTTATGGGATGCTACAAAAAACGTCAGTGTAGATATAAGTAGAGCAATAAATTGAAAAGAAACTACAGCCATCCCCAGTACGAATAACCCAAAACCCGAGACTTTTTAGTGGGCTGGAAAATTGCTAGGGCCCAGGATATTCACCATGACACAAACGAAGAAATTTTTAGTATTTTTGAAATATTCTGAAAGAACGCTTGTAGAAAATAAAATGCTACGAATCAAAAATTTTGCAATGGTCTGCCCCATACATCTATGCTTTCAGTTTTAACGTACATTCAATCAGGCTCCAGGAATTTTATTTTGAACTGTCTCAAAAAAATGTGTAAAAACTTTTGTATCAACCTAATAAAATGTGATCCTAGACCAGTTTTTTACGCTCTTTCAAATGGTACATGTTTCAAGAAAAAACCAGGATGCGCGCTTTTGCCGATCCCTTGTTATATGCAAAACCAACCGTATTGAAGCAAAAAATCGAAATAAATTCTTTACCTCCATGAATTATGAAAATTCCGGCACATCCGTAGTAAATGGTTTTGTGGACTAAAGTCTGAATCCATCGCAGATTCACCGAAGGCAATAGAATGCAAGATATGACCACATATGCGATTAGATACAATACCGGCCTTTTTATCGCAAACTTCCGCATGTTTCTAGCAAAAAATCTTTTCAGGTGACAAGAAAACTCCGAATTTTCATAAGGAGTTTCGAATTTCTCGAGATTTCGAATATTCCATTCAGTATTCAAATTTATCTCGCCGAAAAATCAGTGAAAACACTTCATTCGGGTCATTAAATGATGCCGCCGTGGCTTCAAAGATACCTGTGGCGTAAGAGGAAAGTGGGCATTTCCTCTTGTTATGTCGACGGACTCCCTTTCAACTTAACCCGGCCAAACAACAAAGAAGATTTGGAGGAAGAGATTACGCAATAAAATACTGAAGAAAAGTTGTTAAGACTATGTGGTGAATCGAAGCAAAATTACTTATTAAGCGACTCTTATTAACATGAGAGTCGCGCCTGGTGCACTTCCCTTGTCAGTTCTGAACTTTTAGCTGTTACTCCTGTCAAACTTCGAATACAGTACCAAACCATTGGCATTTTATGATAGTCTTTATTGTTTTCTCCCATGAATAAATTACAATTGGTAATCTCTTTTTCGCTTTCGGTTTTTTCCGAGCTCAAGGCCACCGTGCCGGAATTAATGGCGTCTCTGGAGGAAAAACTCATGGGAACCGAACGTATAATTGTACTGTAACTTTTTATGTCGACGCAAAAAAATAAGTTTTTGATTTTCTTCAAGGACGAAGAAAATGAGTTATGCCCTGGATTTTCGAATGGCTAATTATACGACTCTTTGGCTTGAGATTTATCGTTAATGGTAGGGTGAATTCGAGTTTTATTAAAGCTTTGTTGTTGTGTGTTATATGTGTTTTTCTGACGGCCTTTGACGTTCCAAGGGTTTTTATTTTCTCTCCGTTGTGCAAACATCTCCGATGATTTCCATTGGCCATTCTTTTTCTCTTTCTCTTTTAGTGTTTCGGGCCAATGAGATATCAGGATGACAGTAGAAAGTTGCTTGCGCTGAAGCAGTGAAATTTTTTTTTAGAATCCAATTTAAGCACAGTGCAAAAAGCACTCTGCGCCGCTATATATGCACTTTATGGAAAGACTAGTAAAAACGTCTGACTCGCTGATGTTTCCTTTTAATTTTGCACACAGAATCCACAAGAATCTCTAAAAATTTTGGCTCGAAATTTGATGGGACGGGCGAGACTTTCAACGACCCCGCCGACGATAAAGCACGCAAAATGCGGAGGAACTATCCAGTCAAATGTATTCGCAGACCATATTTGACTTTTCCCCAAAAGCTAAGCCACTGAAAAGCCCAAATTCAGCGGACCATAACGCTGAATTTGGGCGTATGAACTTGAAAGTAAGGCAGGATTATACATATACAAATTTCCCTGCTCTATTGTACTTTACATCCCCTCCGTCCCCCCTGTATTTTCATCGTTCTTATTCCCATCATTCCATCATCGTTGCAGCGTTCGCCGTTAAGCCGTAAAAAGGGATTGTAATGAGAGATCGTCGTTCTTCACCGTTCCAATCACTCTCCAGGAAAGGGGAAAAAAGTTTTTCCTTTTTCTGACCTAGCACCGACTGACACCGTTCCGTTTTTTGTTGTTTCCCTCCGTAAAAAAAGTTGCACCAAAAGTCCCGCGGGTTAGAGATCACAGCAGCGTTCGCAATTGAAGAAAATGGTTGTTAAATCTGTTAAACAGTTCAAAGAGTGGCTTCGAAACACATTCTAATATGTTACCAGACCAGGAAAAGAATGAGCCTTCTTTTGCATCGATGAATGAATTGTGTCGCGGAAAAGTCAAATTGCTTTTAATTTCAGCGACATTATGCTCAATATCTTCCCGGCTTGATAATGATCTTCTTCTATCCAGATTACTAGAATTTTTCGAAATTTAGAATATATGACCAACAACTTTCGTGCCAAAGTCATCATATTGTCGTATCTTTGGAATTTGAATCGTGGAGAATTTTCCGCTACTTTGATCCGATAACAATTTGCAAATTCGGAGCGTTCGCAGAACTCAGCTGACGCTATTTGTTGCACGTGAAGATTCGCTGGAAAAACAAGGCCGTTCGGTTAATAAATAACGATTACTGCGAACGTCAAACAAAAGTCTTGGTTTTAAGCAAACTGTAACACTTTGTGGGGTTGTAAAGAGGCGTAGTCTTCATACAGCGAACTTTCTTCACAGCGAGCTTATTGGGCATTGTAGAAAAAATAAGCTGAACAACATACGGTTCAGCTTATTTTTTTCTGGTATCTTGAACTTTGTTATGGGTACATACCGTGTCTATAGTATCCGTATTTTTTGGTCTTAATGTCTTACTCATCTCTTGCTCTCTTCCTCCGTAGATCAACCTGTCCCCACGGTGCAGTTCTTCCACATTTTTTTGCGACGAGACAGGAGCCGCTGGTTGTTTGACGGCCTGCACTTTTATGGAAAAAAGTGATTGAAGAAACCCCTCGACATAAAAAAACGACCGGGGGACGCGTTTTTTTCTGACGTGCGTTTTTAACAATGTAAGTGAATTAAAGCGTGGAAAACGATAAAAAATTGAGGTAAAACTTGTAACCCAAGGGCTGAGTGGGAGTTTACAATGTCTAGGGGAGTTAATTGAATTTTTGTACACGAAATTATGCGTCTTTATAGAGAAAGGGAAGATGGCGAAGGTAGGATTTTTTGTCAAGTAGAGGTGGCTATAAGGAGATTTGCAATTTAAAAATGGCTCCGACATGGCCGATATTAGCTAGCTACCTTTTACATTAGCCCTAAAACCCCTTGCTAAACAGTAAATCTTTTTTGTTACTAAAAGATATCGCTCCATAAGACCGCTTGCTAATACGGAACATTGCCCAACTGAGCTTTTCTGCTTCCAAACTTAATTTACAAAAGTCCACATTACGCTCCAGTTTTTTAGTAAACAATTGGGCGGCATTTTAAATTCCACTGCAGAGATCAGCCCCCAATCAAAGACACGAGAGAGAGAAACAGACGAGCAAAGATTGCGCAACGACAACTTACTATTCAGAACGCAACATGTCTCTCCAACGTTTTTCGTCTTCTCAAAAAAAACCAGTCCTTAGGCGGTCGGCGGGCCTTTCCCTTTCGATGACTCCATCGACTTTCACCTCACACCTCACGTCAGAAGAGAGATGTTGATACAAAAATCACTCGGTCTATCATCATTTCTCGGGTTTTGGGGTCTGTTTCTGGTGTTTTTACTACTTATTTTTGCAACTTATTCCTTGAATCTCATTGAAAATTGCCTTGAAACAATCCAAGTTTCCGATCAACTACACCCTATTGCACTTTACTGAAATTTACCTTTCTCTCCTTGTGTTTCTTTATGAAATCCCCCATCTTTTCTTCGTTTAGAGATTCTCCCCCGATTGACCTTGAAGCAGATTCTTCAAGATCCCGTGAAGATTTCGCGGGATTCTTCACGCAGTTTTAAATTCAGAGCGAAATTCGAAAAGAATTGCCGGCAATCATAAAATTTCAATTTCATACTGTATGCCAGCACTCAAAAAAACTTTTTTTTACGGGGTTATCGTTTGGCTATCTAAAGTCAAAACATATAAATCTAGCGGGTTTGCCATCATTTCTGCCAAAAAAAGTTTGTCAAAGGGCAAGTGCAACTACCCTTGAATCGTGACGATTGGTGAAGCAAAACGCCCAAAAATTGTTTTGTCTGCTATACTGGTCTTTCCATAAAGTGCGTAGACGTTTCATCGCTAGGCGGAAAAGCCCATTGCGTTTTACCTTTTGCACCGTGCAATGGGAACATAGCTGCGACGTAAAAATTTTTTACAACTGCATCGCTGCGGTTTTGCGTGTTCATCTGCACTGCAGCGCTTTTGAGGTTTGCACTTTACGAAATTGATGACTAAAGGAGAAAAAGGCCAAATGAGCCGTTCAAAAAAGCTACGCACTTTATGGAAAGACTAGTAAAAAAACAACGGAAAAATGTGGTAAACTTCTAGATGTAAACTAATAATTTTAACAAAAATCATGGCAGTGTTTCCGACTTTGTTTTTGGGGCCTAAAAAACCGTTTGACACTTCGTTTCTTACGTCGTAAAAACGCAATTCAAAAAAGGCCTAAAACCTCTAAAAGTAAATAAACTTTGGATTCTTGAGCTTTGCTATGTGGAGGCTGAAATCTGTTTCCCTTCGATGACTCATACGGCTTCCTCAAGAACTCCCAAAAAGGTGAAAAACAACCCAAAAGATCTTCTTTTTTAACGACGCCGCGGGACGTCGCCTAATGGAATGGCGCAATCCCTTCGGTTCTATGCTTTCGCTTTTAATTTTAATGTCTTTGAATCCGCCGGCGCTTAATTAATCGCACCGTGACAGTGCGCGTCGAACGTCAGCCAAGTTTAATGCGCGCTGATCGTTGTATAAAGACGGTAAAACTCGTTATAACGAAACATTTTTAACAAATTTATAACCACAAATTTTTGGTTTATCGATGTTTCAAAAAATTCAAAATTTTGTCGGTGTTTCGCTCTCTTCTCACCCTCATTTTTATTGCGTCGGTAGAAAGTGAAATCACGTCGAATCGCCTGCGGCGATGAGAAAGTTTTATTGCTCAGCGCGCGGAAAAACGTTTTATTTATGGCGCGTTGCGCAATCGTCCATCCGATGGGGGAGCTGGCGAAGATCTTGACAGACGTGGGAAAAAGCGTTACTGTAAATTTGAAGCGGAATATTGCATAGCAATTTACCAAACAAATTTTTTTTTGTAATCCGCGTAGCTCGTTATTTACCGAGATCATTGCTGGGAACGCTCTGCATAAGACTACAGAGATTTTCAATTTGAAAAAACTTTACCAGAAAGTAAAAAGTCAATCAAAAAACGTCAAAGTATTGTAAACCTCTCAACTTTTCCTTTTTCGGATTATTTTTTTCTTTTTCTCCATGGAGTCTCCCAAAATTCCCACAACATTTCGCCGGCTCCAGCCGGGTCTGGGTCCAGGATTACGCTGCAGTAAAAGTACTCCCTTTCAAGTCGACTTGCAGTTGAATTTTGCTCTTTTTCGAGCAGTTCTCGTCTCTGACCGGCCAAGGTCGTTTGGAATTGTTTTAATTAAAAAACCGGGTCAAGGTGAAATAAACAAGGAAAAATGACCAGTAAGTGGCGTTCCCCGTGATTTTGATGTGCATGGCCAAAAGCTAGGGAGTGATTTGTTACAGTAAGCAAATTTGCCTAAGAATTTCTGCTTCTTATTAGTGAATTAGGACGATTTTATCTGATTGATTTTAATGCATGTCGATTTGTTGAAAATCTTTTTTCTCTCCCCTCCTATTGGCCCAGCTTTGGGAACCTACGCGCCTTTTGGGTGTGGCCACAGTTCCGACATTCCCCACTTTTTCTTTCCGCGGATTGGCTGAGATTCGTCTGTCTTTTTGGTGAATGTTTGCGCAAGCGCGGTATTTTTATGTCTCTCGAAACAACTTGTTTACTGCTGTTCCTTTGGCAGATGGTTGCCATAGGAGTTTGTAACGTCATTATCGGTTGGCTCTTGATTTTCTACGGATTTCGCAGTGTTTTTGCTGCCGTATTGGACGTTTATCCTCTTAAATTTTTTCCCCCAGTTTTCTCCACTTTTTCCATGCTCTTTTACAGTGGCTCTAATAAAAAATGCACCAAGATTTCCCGCTTTATCCACCTGTAAATTCCCAGATTTCCATTATCTTTTTCTTTGGCTTCATTTCACCTCAACTTTTCTCGGCGAACGTTTACGACGCTTCTCGAGGTCCCTCTTTTATTCCATCGGTCTTAATCTTAGCCTTGACCTGGTTTTCACCCCTCTTCAACAACATCACACGCTTCATAATGGAACTATAATTTTTGCGAGTTTGAAGTGAAAGATTCAATGTTTGGTCCATTTTTCGTTGAGGTGTAAAGTTCTTGTAAAATGGGGATAAGTCTGTGTACGCTCAATTTGAAGTAACAGGTTGTTATGTAAAAGTTTTTCGCATAGTTTTATAAGGTATCGTCTCATAATAAATAAAATTGATGAGTAATGTTTTTAAAGAAGTTCCTTTGTTGGGAAAAACACCAAGTTGCAGGTTGTTTACGCTAAAAACGTTGATTTTAAAGTCAAAACAGAGTTAGAGCCCTTCACCAACCATCTATTATACAATCAACAATTTCTATACCAAATTTAACAATCCTACGGGAAATCTTAGTGCTGAAAAATTATTTTCTTTATAGTGAACAAAAATCTTGAGCCCACAAAGTCTGCTCTGTACTCTAAAGCCTTTTTCCGGTACAAAAATCCCATCACAACGCCCTGTGGGTGAATCGGATAAGACTCGTATTACGCAACGCTTTGTCTGCCCAGATTAACACATCCACAAACGCATCCCAAAAAAAGGAAATTACATAAAAATCCGATCCTTTCACTTTCGAACGTCGCGCTGTCTGCGTGCCCTCCGGCGGCGGCCACCATCTCTAGCCGTCGTTTCAACTCACGTTGCATGAAGCCGGGCGTCTGTGTGATGGAGCGAGAAGAGGCGAAAGGAAGAATCAATCGCCTTTTTTGGAGCCTTGTACTACCTTTCTCCAAAATACTCTCTCTTTTCTCCCTGTGAATTTTCATTTCCGAATCACGACGGGCTTTTCCAAGAGGCGAGAGTTGGTGGGTTAATGAGGTCTCAATGTGTCTTACAATTATGTGGCAACTATTTTCTTAACCTGCCGGGCACTTGTTCTACAAAGGAGGAAAGATTTTTCGGCTATGAGGAGGGTTCCATTTGCACATTTTTAGTTCGGTATAAAATTTTGAGAACATTTTTTAAAAAGGTACAGCGCCTTTCCATCTTCTTTGTTTCAAGCTGTCTTAGACGGTGGAAAAAACTTTTTTTTTTGTTTTTCCTGGTAATACCATAATTGCTCATGTTGCAAACCATGAAGATCAGTTGTAAAAGCGAAACATAAAACGCCAAAATTCACAAAACGACGGTTTAAACCAGCGCATGTAGGACCCATACAAGCTCTAAATTCTCAATGGGTTTGGTCGGGAATACGGGTCACTCTACAACAGAGATCTAATATACCGGATAAGTTTTTCAATTTCTAGGCATAGTATCGATTTCCGGACATAAATTACCAATACGCGCTACATTTACAATGATTTATGATCACGTCAGAACCCACATAACCTAAGGCTACTCCGGGTAGCCCCGCGGACTTTGGGCCCATCCGCAGCTCGGTACCATTCGGTAACCCGCTACGCCGGAGTCGAACTTCAGCCTACCCCAAACTTCTGCCCACCCTCATTCGTTGTCTTACTATTTTTTGGCGGCTGCTTACAATACTTTCACCCGGGCCTTCACTTTCTCACCGCCTCGGTTCTTACCCCCGCAAAGACTCTTTTGATTCGACGGCCCCACGGCTCCGCCCATTCCCCGGTATTACCTGGACGAAAAAATTTGTGTTCAAGAGGGGCGCGCATGAAGCAAAACGAAGGCGAAAAGAAGACGAAGAAGATCGGGTGGGCATGAAAATGAAAGGCAAAAGAGAGTGGCGGCGATGTCCAGCCCCACCCCTCGCCGTCGCCCGGTCGATCTTCGTTGTCCCGTCCATCGCGAATCTCGGGAGTCCGCGCGCACTGTCCGAGGTCATCAGTGTTGGGGGCGAAGAGCGCCGTCCACCGGTAGCCAGCGCCGCCGACGGATATTATACATTTATATACGTGGGGGGATGGGGTGGATGAGCGGCCTTGTGTTTTTGGGAGCGGCCTTGGACTGGCCCTGACCTGGGCCGGCCTTGGCGTTGTAACCGGGGATGAACGTGGGCGGCCTTGGGCTATGTGTTGCGCGATCAGCTGTCCTTGTAAGGCGCCAGCTTGATCTTGTAATACAATATCTGAGGAGTAAGAGTAACGAAGCGAGAGGGATGTGAAAATGAAAGTTTAGTCAGTTAAGGTTGTTGCATCCAAGCCAAAGCTAGCTTAAAACATTTGAATCGGGTTATAAAACAATAACACGAAAATTTAGATCCTAGAGTTTAGCTACAGCACACTTCCAACAACTCACGTAAAAAGATTGCACTTACCGCATGTCTTTACTTGTAGCAGCTGACGTCAAGGCTACGTCCTTGGAACTCCAGCTCCTTCTAGGGGTATATCCTGTCCTTGTAGCGGCTCCTGTCCTTGGGTTGCGTGTTTAACTGACCTTGTGTTACACTTTCCCTTGTGTCCTTGCCCTAGTGTTTGTAGCGTTGCATAATCCACGTGAACTTCCAAACCAGCGCTACCTTGTCTTGACTGTACAATTTGCAATCGAATCGCGAGCTACATATACGTATATGCGTATAACGTTGCATAAAAATCTAACCCTGCTGATTTCAGTGGATACTATGAAACTGGAGAAATGTCCCAATCCCACTGTCAGCTTAACTCTTCCCAAGTGCATTGACACGATGGCGTCGGAATCCCCGTCCTGTTCAACGCCGTCCTCATCGTCGTCCGGCGGAACGCCCACGAATTACATGCCCAAAGGGATGGTAAACCCGACGTTGATCAGCACAGTACATGGCCAGAATATGATCAGCTTGATCAACAATCGACCGGTCGAGAATGGCGTCACATATGATGACAACAAAGAGCCGTGTCCGGTTTGCGGCGACAAAGTTAGTGGATATCATTATGGTCTGTTGACCTGTGAATCTTGCAAGGTAAGAGCTGAGTTTTCCAATTGTGATCTTTTGAGCGGTTATGTTAACATTTTTTCTAAAGTTTTGAATAGTCTAGCTAGCTGGAGGAAACGGTTTGGGAAGCTAAGCCGATTAGGATGAAAAAACAAATAGCTTAGATGGATTGTTGTCGCTTTTGCGATTGCGTAGATCATGCTGAAGATTTCTCGATCGTGATTAATTAGGTTGCGTAATGCATTGACTCTTATCCCAAATTTCAGGGCTTTTTCAAACGCACAGTGCAGAACAAAAAGAAGTACGGCTGCAACGCGGAGGGGAAATGCGTGGTGGACAAGACGTGTCGGAAGCGATGTCCGTATTGTCGGTTCGAGAAGTGTGTAGCCAAGGGGATGAAGGTCGAAGGTAAGGCTTTGATTTGAGTGATTTAGCCCAACTTTTTTTGCTTATCTGATCTCGCCGAGAACGAACATGATTAATGAGTTTGCCATTTACGGCGTTCTTATCGGCGATTTGCGTACGGTATATTCAAATTTGTCGTTTTCTTGATCAAGAGAAGCAAAAAATCTTTTTTCATAAAAAATAGATAAAAACACAAAGGTGCTTCAAGTCCAATATGCATATGGCCACAGGTGTTTTCGAGTTTTTTACGCACTCTAGCTGTAGCTTTGGCAAGGCATACCTTAGGCCCATTAAAAGACTTGCAATTTTGATTCTGGCGCCCACTTCCCATATACCGTAGGCCGGCGGGGTCGTTAAAGCCGATGCCAGAAAAACGAGCCTCCCTTGAGTTCTTTTCTCAACGTTTTTTTCAGCCGTTCCTTTTTTGGGTCTCACTGAAAAAGCGAAATGCGATTTTTTTTGCGTTTTTATTGATGGCCCCAGTGAAAAACCGGATTTTCGGAGGTGTTTGAAAAATTTGTATGCTTTATATAGAGGTAATCGGTGGGTAAATGGGTGAGGCAACCGGTTATTGGCAACTTGGGATGGCTCAATTGAAAGTTTGATTGCTTTCAATTTCCTTATGACACAGTGAAATCTCTGTGTAATGGATTTTAAAAGGCCGAGATGCTGTTGTCATCAATGCCTTTCTTTGGTCATTTCTATTGACGTTTCCCATCAAGACCCCACCAATTTCCGATCGGATCTCTTTCCAACTAAAGGGGGAGATTTAAATCGGCGGTTTTATAACCAACTAACTGACGGGTCGGTTGCAAATTGCGCAATATACAGTTTATTATGGTCGGGCGGCTCAAGGAGGCGCCGCTTTGTTTAGGGCTTGATGGGTCCGTATATAGGGTTTATAGGATGGCCATCTATACGATGATTAGACCATGCGTAGGCTGAGGTCCTGAGATTTAAATACTTACAGTACCTTTTTATTGGTCGTCATTGTCGCCACAACAATTAAACATTTTACCTCGAAAAACCAAGAACAATATGGAAATTTGTTGTCAACAAAACTTTTACGCTCCCGTCGAACGCAATTAAGCGCTGACCCGTTCAGTGGGGACCCTCTAATCCCGCGCGTATGCTAATTTCATCCAGTCTTATTCAAATCAGGGATACGTTGGGGGGTCTTGAATGGATAAGGAATACAAAAGAATGTCTTACAAAAGGTTCGCGGGCTGATCCGCTGAACCGTAAAGAGGATAAGGTCAATAGGAGAGCATGGAAACGCCGTTGACAGTATGCAAATTAAAACTTAATTTTTTGAAGAAACGTGGCTTTTCCAAAGATTGCATAAAACAAAAACATACAAATCACAATCTCAACAACAAAATTTCAGCTGTCCGAGAAGATCGAATGAGAGGTGGCCGAAATAAGTTCGGTTCATTTTACAAACAAGATCGTGCCCAACGCCGTCTTCAAGAGCCTCAGCGAACTCAGCCCACACATCAACAATATCAGAACATGTATAATGGCGTCATTGCGGATCAAAACGTCTCCAGCAGGTAAATTTTTGCGCACCAAAAAGAGGAAATTTCCGAATTCTTTTGGTTTTGCGGACGAATCTGAGACTTTTCACCTGATCCTCACAACTTTTTTGGCTCCTCACCGTATCCCTCTCACTTTGCACACCCATTCCTCTCACTTGATCCATGGGTATTGTTGTAGTCGCAGGTCGGCGGGCCTGTAATTACGCATCCCGCTCTCGGCGAAACATTTGTTTATCCCTCGGCACAAAAACAAGAAATGAAAGTGCGCCAGTTTTCGCGCACTCATCTTTCGCATGCCGCCGCTCTCGAGAGTATTATCTACGGAGGTATTGGAAGTTGGCGGTGGCGAAAGGGACGTGCTAATTAGGCGTCACTCCAATCTCCGGTGTTGGATTATAAGGCCGCAAAAGGGGCGAAGAGAGGGACAAAATGGGGGGATTGGGCTCGGATATCGATCATGAAAAGTTCAGGAAAAAATGTATGTAAAAGAACACAAAAAATTGAACATTGCGAAAAACTCTATACAAGTATAATAACTCTGAACTTCGAAAAGACAGAAATTGCAAACAATAAGTCAATTTTTCAGTACTCCCGACTGCTATTTCGACAACCGCCTGAAAGTCAGCACTTATGACGCAATGTTGCAAAGTCCCACGCTTTCGTCGACCAACAATTTCAACGACTTCCGTTATGCCATGCATCAAGAGAGTTTGGCCGCCATCCTCAGCTCTTCGATGGACGAGCACGCTCAAATGAATATGCGTTTTCAAACCCCCATTACGACGGCCAATTCGAACTCAGTCAAGTCCGAGCCCTTTGACGGCCCCTATTTGGCAAGCGCCTCGGGCCATCTTGCCCCACAAGGCAACCCATTGGCTGCCGAACCACCCTATCATCTCGTTCATCCCACGGATTACAGCACAACCGCAGCGGCGGTTGCGGCGGCCGCTTATCAGCCAATGCTGCCGATGACTTCCCTGAACCACCAACAATTCTTGGGAGAGAATCAGATGCCGTTGTGCCTGCCCCCTTCCGAAACGGCGATCGCTGAAGGATATTACAGCGGGAATAGTGGGCGAATGTTCCAGGAGATGATCAACGCCGTCGAGAATCATCGTGCTGCGATGTTGTCGCTGGAGAAGGCGAAAAAAGACAGTGCCGATGCCTTCGATTTCTTGATCTTGGCCGCCGAAGAGCACCTGAGCGAGGTGGTCAACTGGGCCAAGAGCATCAGGAAATTCAACGATCTGTCGGTAGGCCAATATCCTTTATGTTCCGTTTTAATTTATTCATAATACAGACTAACAACCAATCTTTCAGACGAGCGACCAACAGAATTCGATCAGCATGTCGTGGCCATTGATCCATATTATCAACTTTACCTTCAACTATGTGAAAGGCAAGATCCCTACGAGTTACAGACTGAGCAACGGCACTGAGTAAGTTGAATTTCAAAAACAAATTCATGTATTGCGAATGTCCTGAAAGCAATCCGATGTTTTCAGAGTCCCAGTTGTCTACGTGGCCCTTCTCGGATGTTCGGAGCTGGAGCCGGAATGGAAGGAGCTCTGCGAGCAGGTGAAACGCTTCGACGACTACGACTACACCGCCCTCTTGTGCATGGCCCTCTTCTCGGCCCCACAACAAAAAACCACCGCTGCGGTGTACTCGGAGATTTGCTGCGCGTGGAATTCGTTTAATCATCATAATCTGCCAATGATGGAGATCCTTATCCAGTTGAAGTAAGTTTAAGCTATTTTAGGCGCATTGGTCTCTACGAAACCTTTATTTTGATCCCTTCATGGGCTATAGGGTTAGGGTTTACTTGCTCCCTCATCTTATTTAGGACCATTTTAAGGGGAAAGAACAAGGCTCCTGACCTGTGACCCCCATGCGGATATTTTTTTACGCTCATTCCAAAAAGCCTCTTATAGCCGGGATGGCCTTTAATTATCCGAGATTTTTTAGTTCGCGACCTGTCGAATGCACTGTGGGAGTCCTATTCCCAAAAAACTTGGGTCCGCTAATTAAAACTTGGCTATCGGCCTTGTAATTATGCTTCGGAACGGCTATAATGGCTTTTTGGGGAAATTCTGAAAAACAACCATAGCATTGCTAGAGTGATTCATCAGAATAAGAGTCAATTTTGGATCTAATCTGTCATTTTCAGCGCAATGGCAAACCGAGCTCAGGGCTACTTTATTCACTCCGCACAATCGTCAAACATCCCCTTGCCCAATTTGTTGAACGATATTCATTGCCCACCACAACAATATTACTACCCCACGATGGCTTAATATGGGCGCTACAGTAACCAAACTTCCCGGATCTCGACACCTAAACTGCTGGCTATCTGCCTCTTGTATTATAAATGAGAAACCCCATGTATTTTATAGTCCTTGTCTCGTTTTGGCCCTTAGTTGCAGTTCGACCGTCAAAAAGGCGTTACTATCAAAGTTCAACGCTTTAAAGAGGGGTTCGCTGCAGCTGAATTGGCACACTCCAAACCCGTAGTCTACAATATCGCACAATAATTCATCTCCGCATATCCCTACTCATTTACTTAGCGTATCGCCAAATCGAATCAGTTTTCGGTAAATTCCAGTAACACAGTCTTACTGTAGCATGTTGCAGTACACCTCTAATGGCCAAAAAATCTTGCCCACCCAAAGATCTTATAACACTTTGTTGATAATATTATTATATAACACATTGAAAGTTTTATTGCAATCCTTTTCACCCACTGATGATAATATCAGCAACTCAAATTTTTTAGTGGGAAATTAAACAAAGTCCGTATTTTTTGAATCGTATTCAAATTTATTATAAAAATAAATATTAATTATAAAAGGCAAGGTTGTTAGACGCCACTTTTAAAGTTGATTTGAAAAACTTCACCCGTAAAATGATGATAAAGTAAGAAAAAAGTTCAATACAATCATATCACAGCCTGAGAAAAAGACGACAAAGCCTCTGTATAACAAACTTTTTTGTGGCTTTTTTAGGCTTGGTTGGACAGAGACTTGCGTTGGCATTGTAACACATAGAAAATAATGAAGAAGCGTATATTTAAACAAGCATGAAAAAATAAACATTTTTTGGCTAACAAGCAAGGTAGTTGGCAAATTATCAAGCTGAATTAAATTTATTTTAACGCGATACCCGTCGAAAAATAAGAGGAAGGAAATTAGAGTTTTGCTTTCCGGAAGAAGCGGGATGTTAAGCGGATATGAAGACATGAAAGTCCGCAAGGTGACAGTAGAAGTACGATAAGTGCGACGCTCAGATCTTGATGAAACTAGGAACAGACTTAGAATAATTTTTTCTAAGACATACCCCAGACTGCTAGCTCGCTCTTTGCCTAAACGACAGAGATTTTTAAGTCTAAAGTTAACAAAAATTCAATGTTTTTTTGCAGATTTTTTCATGAAAATTTTCATAGTTTCATGCCTATTTATCCGTAGAGAGTAATGTTTCTACAAAAAAAAAACAATTTTTTCGCATGAAACTAGCAAAGATGTGGCCAAACATTTTTTTTAGTCACCGCTTTCAGCGTTGGCGAACTGTTTCGGTCGCAAAAAATTTGAGCGTTGCACTTGTGGCACATCGTTTGTAAGGAGACAATAACAGACCAAAGCGTCTCCAGCCCACGAAATTTCAGATCTGACTGTCCCCTTCTTCCAGCTGGATCGGCTCCTCTTGACCCACTGGACTCCATTCGGCCGAGCCTCGGACCTGGACTGGACTCCTTTTGTCCTCCTCCTCTCCGCCATCCCCGTCCACTCTCACCAATTGCGGTCTTTTGCCTTTGAAATCGAATAAGAATCCATTGATTGTGGGTGTATTTGAAAATCGGGCACTCTTCAGTTTCGTGTTGATGGTTCTCGATTCGTTCGACCCGTTCGCGGACTTGTAGCGCAGTCCTCGGGGCTTGCGCGGGCGGCAGAGCTTGAAAAACTCGGCAAAAGCCAGCCGAAATTGCTCATTGAGCATTGTGTACAGGATTGGGTTCCATACCGTGGATGACATCGAAATGCAATGCGTGATGACGCCGAATAAGTACTCCTGTCGGGCCACAACATTGGGAAGCCATTGGTAGTCGCGCAGGAAGTTGAACAACACCGCCGGTGTCCAGCAAAGCAGAAATACGGCCACCATGGCGATTAGCATTCGATTTGTGCGCAGTCGTCGCTTCAATGCGGTTTTCCGTTGTTCGGATTGCTGTTGAGTGAGTTGTTGTTGGTCGGTGTTGCGGTCTTTCACCAGAATTCCTTGGCCAAGGCGGATCGAGATCATCATGTAACAAAATGTGATAATCACAAAGGGAACCACGAATTGGAGAATAAACACCATCGTGCCTGGAAAGATTGGACTAAAGTTTATGCAAAACCAACCAACATAGGGCAGCTTACAGGGAAAGTACTGAAAGTTCGACGCTCAGATTTTGAGGGAGCTTTGGCGTAAATTTAGATTACTTGTTTTTAAGACATCTGCGGAGTTCCTAACGCGTGCTTTTCTAGATTTTCAAGTCGAAAGTTGGCAAAAATGTGATAATTTTTCTGCAAATTTTGGTATGAAAGCCCTACCGTAGGGAGTAATGTTTCCACAAAAATTTTTTTTCCGGACAGAACTGGCAATGATATGACCAAAAAGTTTTTTCTCTGTGACTGCTGCATTCCGCGTACTCTATCGGCCACAAAGATCATTGAAAATCTCGGCTGCCTATGCAAAGGGCAAGCTAAAATTTTGAGGAATTGATACGCAGCACATGCCCGAAGTGGGTAAAAAATCTTTAAAAAATCTTAGCGTCGCACTTGGTGTATGTCATTTTTTGTTAGATCAAATCTTCAACGTACCATAAGCGCTTCTCGCAAATGTATCCTCCTTCCAATCTTCCGTGCAAAATTGCCCACAAAAGTCGCCGTAGTCGACCAATTTTTGTTTGAAAACCATTGGCAATGATATGCTCGTAGCGATCAGACAGTTCAACGCGATCATCCGCAACGCGTGTTTTGTTTGAATCGACCGCTTCGTGGGGTAGATGATCAAAATAAAACGATCAATTGATATCGCCGTTAGCGTCAACGTGCTGAAGCACAGGCTGGATCCCTGAAAACGAGAGGTCAGTCACAGCGAAAACAATAGGCATTTTTACGGAGTTTATGCAACGAAAGCCAGCAACCGACCTGAATAAGAGGTACAAATTTGCATAGTGTCTCGCCGAAGAGCCAAATCTTGGTGAATGCGGAGATTGGCGTCACGGAACCCGAAACCAACGACGCTACAATGTCCGAGCAACTCAGACTGACGATAAACAGATTCCGCACCGACTGCAGGGATTTGTGCCGAATCACGCTGAGGATGACAAGGCCGTTTCCGAGGACACCAAGACTAAAATTAGTTAATCCATTAGTGCGTTAATTTTCAACGGATAATTTTAACTTTATCGTCGGTATAATACTGTTACGAATGGGTTTTTTTGTTAGACTCTAGACATCCACTCCTTTCTTTTTGCGTAGTTGGAATCTCAAATTTCAAAGAAAAATAAACACCAAAAACAATGAAGGTCCAATCCCTTCAACGGTTCAAAAATCATCTTTTTTATTTTTCATTACAGAAGAGGTAAAATTTTATCTGTGTAACATTTCTAAGGCACCTTAGCTAAGATAAAAAATACTTTAGCGGGCTTCTCAAACTGAGCTTACGTTATAATCAGCACGTAAAGGATGAGAAAGATCAGCATCGTGCTGGGCAGCGAGGTCAAATCGCCTTGACTGGTCCATAGGAAAGCTTTGATGTCGACACAATTGGCCGACTTACTAAGGTTGCTCATCTTCCTCAATATGTCATTTTCTGCAAATACCAACATATTTGATATCCCCCGAAAACGCACGGCAAATTCCCAAAATTACATGGTAAATCGAGCGATATAAACGCGATGTCACGCCGACGTCATTTAGGGGAAGTTATGTGGGAGGAAAGGATTGTAACATTTAATATGTTCTTATAAAATCGGCCCGAACTCGGGGATAGACAATGAGTCAGATAAGAGAAGGGATAAACGGCCGTGGCGAGAACTAAATCCCGCTGGTTAATCAAGTGAGCGCTTATGATGCGATGCTCAGATTTCCTGTATATTTGCACATACATAAGCATCATAGGTCATAAATCAACTTCAAGGGAAAAGTTGTTTGTTTTTTGCGGGATAGTCGAGATATTCAACGCTGCCAAGAGTACACAGTGCGTACACCAATTAACGAGAAACTTTTTGAGCTATTTTAATCTTGGCTGGAAAAAATGGCGCTTAGTTGGTTGTTGTGGCAACAAGAAGCGACGCTAAAATCTGATATCTTAAAGATTAAGAAGGCATATCCAATCTTCACCAACATTCGAATTAGAAATCTCGGTTATTATTTCTACAAAGCGCGGGCCAGGAATCGCAAATATAGCTTACGATTAGGAAATGGTGTAGGGCAGGTGGATACCCAAAAAAATTGTAGGTAGTGCCTACGAGGCCTCGCGAGGCCTGTGAAAGCTCTTGAATGCTCGGCCGACGTTCGGCGAAGGCTTGGCGGAGACTTGGCGGAAGGCTTGTAATGTGTCCACATTTTCTAATTTTTGCTATTACTAGCGTTAGTTTTCTCTACCCTGAGTTATTGTAACCAAAATTTGCGGCAAAAAACGTATATCTGTAACTTTTATCTAGACATCATTGATGTGAATGCATGCAAAATATAATACCTCAAAATAAGTAATAAGCTATCCTTGGACCCGATCAATTTATAGCCCCTCTGCTCAACTCTCTCGAAAACCCGAAAACTAAACCACATTTAAAGGCAGAATCGGAAATGTATAATCACATGCTTCCACCTAGTATGTACCTCAACAAACCCCCGAAACAGCCTCCGCGAAACCCCCGGAGGGAACCAAATTAACCATAAATGACGGGATATCGCGCATAAACCCCGATATTAAAAGGAAAATGTAAAAACCGAGGTGTGAAATTGATTCTTGGGAAATGTCAGATGCATGAACTCTCGTACGACGCATCATAAACAAACGAAAATTATGTTCTTCGACAGGAGTTATTGGAATTCTAAAATAGTAATGAGGAAGTGGTAGAAATCAAAACGTATGAGTTATAATACATAATTACTTGAGGGAATTTGACCAATAACGCCTTTTTGAGTTCATGTTTCAACAAATAAAGAATAATACATATATAGATTTAAATTGAAGTAAATATTTATTTTTCTTGATTTTCTAATTGAAAGGAGAAGTATCGCAAGTGCGACGCTCAAATTGTGATAAAAATTTGCACAATTTTTTGTAAAGAGTAACTTCATAATTCACAATATCTGACAAGGAAAGTACTTCTCTGGGGTATGGAGTAACAGTTCGAGACATATTATACATATATCAAGAAATCGCAAAATTTTTCTTATTCAGAATACGTAAATGTTGGCTGCCTAATTTTGGTTTGTAAGGGTAAAAAATCCTCAGAACTTTTCTGACAACACACCACGCAAATGCCTTTTTGACCAAGTCTTTACCAATTCAAAAGCTTTGTTTTGAGCTAAAGTAAACGGTTGAACCTGAACTCTACCCCTTTTCTGAACTTTACCCCTTTTTCAACTCTACCCCTTTTTGAACTTTACCCCTTCAGAACTTTACCCCTTTTTCAACTCTACCCCTTGAATGAACTTTACCCCTTTTTGAACACTACCCCTCATTTTGAAAATTGAAAAAATGAGGTGTGACATCTTATACGATGAAAATTTTTTTCAAATTGAAAATAATAAGGTGTGACATCTTATACGATGAAAAAGTTTTTCAAATTGAGAAAAATCAGGCGTGACATCTTATACGATGAAAAATTTTTTCAAATTGAGAAAAATCAGGTGTGACATCTTATACGATGAAAATTTTTTTCAAATTGAAAATAATAAGGTGTGACATCTTATACGATGAAAATTTTTTTCAAATTGAGAAAAATCAGGCGTGACATCTTATACGATGAAAATTTTTTTCAAATTGAAAAGAATAAGGTGTGACACCTTATACGATGAAAATTTTTTTCAAATTGAAAAGAATAAGGTGTGACACCTTATACGATGAAAATTTTTTTCAAATTGAAAATAATAAGGTGTGACACCTTATACGATGAAAATTTTTTTCAAATTGAAAAGAATAAGGTGTGACACCTTATACGATGAAAATTTTTTTCAAATTGAAAAGAATTTTCATCGTATAAGATGTCACACCTGATTATTTTCAATTTGAAAAAAATTTTCATCGTATAAGATGTCACACCTGATTATTTTCAATTTGAAAAAAATTTTCATCGTATAAGATGTCACACCTGATTATTTTCAATTTGAAAAGAATTTTCATCGTATAAGATGTCACACCTGATTATTTTCAATTTGAAAAAAATTTTCATCGTATAAGATGTCACACCTGATTATTTTCAATTTGAAAAAAATTTTCATCGTATAAGATGTCACACCTGATTATTTTCAATTTGAAAAAAAAATTCATCGTATAAGATGTCACACCTGATTATTTTCAATTTGAAAAAAAATTTCATCGTATAAGATGTCACACCTTATTATTTTCAATTTGAAAAAAATTTTCATCGTATAAGATGTCACACCTGATTATTTTCAATTTGAAAAAAATTTTCATCGTATAAGATGTCACACCTGATTATTTTCAATTTGAAAAGAATTTTCATCGTATAAGATGTCACACCTGATTATTTTCAATTTGAAAAAAATTTTCATCGTATAAGATGTCACACCTGATTATTTTCAATTTGAAAAAAATTTTCATCGTATAAGATGTCACACCTGATTATTTTCAATTTGAAAAAAAAATTCATCGTATAAGATGTCACACCTGATTATTTTCAATTTGAAAAAAAATTTCATCGTATAAGATGTCACACCTTATTATTTTCAATTTGAAAAAAATTTTCATCGTATAAGATGTCACACCTGATTATTTTCAATTTGAAAAAAATTTTCATCGTATAAGATGTCACACCTGATTATTTTCAATTTGAAAAAATTTTTCATCGTATAAGATGTCACACCTTATTTTTTCAATTTTCAAAATGGGGTAGTGTTCAAAAAGGGGTAGAGTTCAGATTTTTTGGCGAAAATCAAAAAAGGGGTAGAGTTCAGCCTTTTTGGGGTAGAGTTGAAAAAGGGGTAAAGTTCAGATTGGGGTAAAGTTCAGAAAAGGGGTAGAGTTCTGCCGCAACGAAAGTAAACGCTGGCATCTTGAAAAGCCTTACAATATACATCTCGACCTGTAACTCCATGCCTCATAGAAGTACTTTCCTTTAGAAAAAAATATAAATTCGTTCAAATCTCTTCAAGCTCCAAGTCGAAAATCCTTATAGTCGCCCGCCAATACCGTTCATGAGCTGCAGATATCGTAGTTATAAGATATTCAGGATAAATAAAATTGGATGCAAGACCAACAAGTGCAACCTGCATGCCCCGAAGGCGTCAAATTTGACAAGCGATGGTCAAAAACCGCCGAATGACGCGACTTATTTTTAGTAATTGAATAAACATCCGAAAGTGGTCCTTGCTGGTATATTTTAAACCGTAATTAGTTTAAAATCTAAAAACACAATTGAGTATTTGCGAAATTTTGAAGGGCGAAGGGTAATTATGTTATACTTGAACATAAAGACTTCCCCGAAGCTGTGGAAAACTTGCTGCGCAAACTTTTTGTTGTTACAGAAGGGGTTTACTGGCAATAGTGCGGCCAAATCCTTTCCTCAAAGACTGAAGTGGCGCCAAAATCGTAAAAAAGAATTGAATTTCGAAGGGTTTCCTTTCTTGCGTTCAACGAGAACGCAAAATGAAACAGTTTTTGAAGCGATATATTTACATAAAAGGATGAGAAAAAAATTTGATATGTAAACATATGAGAGAAATATCCGGAAATGAGGGCGAAAGGGCGAGATGCGGATCATTTGAGCTTTAAATGTTCAAAAGACCTAATGGAAGTTCTCAAAGTGCGCGGATCAAAATTTGAAGAAAGTTGGCATAGGTAAAATGTGAATGTTCTTCTAACAGGTCCCAATATATCAGGGGAACAACCCCAAGTGCGACGCTCAGATTTTTATGAAACTCGGCGAAAATATGAAGTAGTTTTTTTGTAAGCCATATGAGAGACTCGTAGTTCGCGCTTTGCAGAAACAACCGAGATTTTTTAGGGTGAAGTTCGGGAGAAATGTGCCACTTTTTTGCGAGTTTTTGACCTGAAAAGTTTCATCTCTATTTCTACCGTAGAGAGAGATTTTTCTGTAAAAAATCAATTCTTTTCCACACAAAAAAAAAGACTTTTTAACCGGCAAAGATATGGCTCAGAAAGTGTTTTTCTCTCCGTGGTTCGCGTACTCTCTCGACCTCAAAGATCGTTGAATAAGTCGACTGCCCCTGCAAAACCCGAGCTAAAACTTTCAAAAATTGCTTTGTGGCTTATGTCTGAAGTGTGCGCAGAATTTGAAGAAAATCTGGGCACACTTGACGTACTTCTCCTTGTAAGGAAATGGAAAACATTTTACCATCAGAATATCATATACCATCCTAATCCGCCAACAATAAAACTGATGTCAAAAGTAATTAGCCGGCTAATTCGGAATGCCTCTCTGCCGTGGATTATTTACCAGTTGTGAGTCATTAACGGGCCTTCAATTAGCCGCTCAAATGACTCCGATTCTACAAATAACAGTTATACTTTTTCACTGTGGGCTCAAATAAAATTGGCCTTTGGAGGACAAGTTTATTTTAAGGACATCTGAAATGGGAG